AACTGAACTTGCTGTAAAACTTTCTGTAAGATACATGGAAGCTTTTTGTCTCTGATAAGTCTGAAAAGTTAATACAGCTTTCCTGGGTTTCTTGGCCTTTCAAGAGATATTCATTAGTCTGAGTAATAATTAGAGAGGAGAAAAGCAAGCTTGAAGTCATTTTAATTCATTAATTTCAGGCTAATTGACCCATATTCAGAGAGTTGCTGAACTGTTCAGTGTGTGTGTAGTCCATTGACTCTCTCTATTATAGATGAACAGGAATGGGCTGAAATACAGTTTTATACATTAGAATGAGATACCAATAAAGCGGTTATTAATTGATCATGTGTATTATCTATGTAATTCTCCCCTGTTCTGAAAAAAATCTCTATTCAGTGTGATATGAATGCTTCAGTCATGGTTCTTATTGGTTTGTTTAAAGACCTTTCAGAATAGAAGCCTAGTATATTATGCATAAAAAACCAAATTAATTTCTGGCATAATTTGATTAATGTTGGAGTTGCACTATAGCTGAATTGGCTCAATGGAATTGCTTGAGTGAAGAGGAAGCATAGGATTCCCAAAGGTTTTATTCCAACTGTTTTCCTGTCACCTACATTTGAAAAGCTTTCTTGGCAGAAGAATTTGTAACTAATTTATGTTGATGCTTAATAGCCAGACAGCTTATTTTTAAGTCTTATTATTTCTGCTGTCCTTTTCTGTAGAGCAGTTCTAAGAAGCATGCCTAGTGATAACCAGACAGGGTAACAAGATACTGAGTGTGTATACACAATACTCATGCAATGCAGGAGTTGGTGATTATGTTTTGTTAATTGGAGATCCTCAGAGGTGCTTAATATTTTTTCACAAATTGCATTGGTAAATTAAGAGTTCATCTGGCAAGTTGGATTTACCAGGGCAGATGGCATTTCACATGTGTGATGAGAGCAGGAGGGAGACAGCAAAGCAGTAATGTAATTAGCTGTGTAAATGAGCCTCACAAGGTAAATCTCTTTAACCCCAATGATAAAATGTGTTCTGTGCTAAAGCCTTGGATTACTGGTCCTGTGAAACAATGTGTGCAGCTGGTCAAGCCAAGATTTCAGAGGTAATCCAGTTAATTTGAAAATAAAGGACACCACTTTTTATCACACTTTCCTAGCTCTTGTATATTTGAGACAGAAATCAGCCTTAAGGTGGTACTCTGACAATAACTCAAGAGAGTGTCCTGTGGAGTTACCTTAGTTCAGCTCTAAGTAAAAGCTTATTTGAATGCTAGGAGGTGTTCTAGCTAGGGCAGAAAGGTGCTTCATAAAAGCAAACCAAAATCACAGGCTGAATAAAATACGAGCTGAGATGTCTCTTCATTGTCCTGCAGTGAGCAGTGTAACCATAAGTAGCTTGTGTTTACACAGTGCCTGGCACAGGACATTTCCCCATGATTACTATCAGTGTGTTTAAAACCTAGTACACAGAAGGGTTTGGCCTGGAAGGGACCTCTAAAGATCATCTAGTCCAACCCCCCCTGGAATGAGCAGGGAGATTTTTGGTGCCACAGAACCACTAAGGTGTGTTTATGTGTACAGATGTGTGGACAAGTAACTGCAGATAGTCTCACATTCAGTTATAGCCAAAAATATTTTTTTATGAGAATATATACAACTTCCACACTTCATTTGGAATTAATTAACCAGGGATATGCCTAATCCTGTTTATACTGAAGGCTGTTAAAATAATAAATTTATAGGATAGACCGGACAATTAGTGTGTGCTGTCTGGTGAGAAAAACACCCTGAAGTATCATGTTACTTCTGAAAAATCATTGCAATGTATTGTAAGTAGTGAATCTTTATTCAGCAGAGAAATCATTCTGTAAAACTGAGGGGAAAAAGTGGGCTGTGCAGTAGCAGCCCCTGTTGTGTGTTTAATAATAAACTTAAAGGTGTTTTACTTTCTGATGAACGAACTTTAGAAACTGTAAATTTCAGAAACACATATGAAGTGCTATTTGCTGCTTATCACAGAGTATTCAGGTTGATTTCTGTCATTTTTTTGGCTCGCAGGCTATAAAATATGGAAACGGTATAAATAAAACTGTGAATCAGGAACATTCAGAGCAATTTAAGCATGTCACAAGAAACCAGGCCACGTTTTGGGTTGTTTTGGTTTGGTTTTTTTAAGTATTGGTTGTTGTTTTCATTTGGCTTTTTTAAGTCGTGGTTGTTCTGCTTGGAGATACTCAAAGCCTGACTGGGCATGGCCTTGGGTAACCTGGACTGGATGATCCCAGGGGGTCCCTTCCAGCCTCAACCCTTCTGTTTCTCCTGAGCTGTCACTTCCATACACGTACACACATGCATACAGAGGTGCATAAATGGGTATGTGTGTATAGATGTATGTAAAACTTAATGCAACATGGTTTTTTTTTTTTGTTTGTTTGTTTTTTTTTTTGGGGGGGGGGTTTACTTTAATTTATTATGGGGACAGACGCTTAACTAGGACAGTGGGTAAAATCTTTCAACTTCTGTTTAACCTGAAAAGCTAATGCTTTTAACATTTTCTTGTACCCCTGACATTAGGAAATGTATCAAAGGACATTTTTGTCAATAACAAAATTTTGCTTTCTTACATGCTTCCTGGCAGCATTTTCACTGCTCCCATAAATAATTTCTAATAGAAAGTCATTATGATTGCAGGATAACTTTGGAATAATTCAGATTTGAAGGGACTTCAAGATGTTAGCGAGTTCAACCCTTTTCCAAAGCAAGATGAACCTCTGAGTTAGGAGCAGCCTGGAAGTGAGAGCGCGTTGCTGGGAACTCTTCTGGTCAGCGTTAGAGTAGCAGCAAGGAGGGTGATGCCACAGCATCCTGGGCAGTTGGCTCCTGTGCCAGCTTCATGCTACTGAGGATCACAAAAGCTTTTCCTTTTTATTCCTTCCTATCACATTCTCATTTAAGCTGGTAGAAGTTTCTCATTAGTAGCTGTTCTACAGTGTGTTGTCACGCAATGCTAAATAGTTAAATCAATACATAAACAAAATAGTTGTTTTAGCTCTTTTCCTGTAGGCTAAAAGCCATCTAGCTATAAAGAATATTCATTGTGTTTATATTTTATGCACCAGTATTTCTTAAATTTATTTACATGATATAGATACCAACAAGAATAAAGAAATGTTACTTCTGCTGAAGAAGAAAACATTGCGTAACAGCCAGTGTGATGTACAGCTTTGGAGTTTGTGCAGTTTTTCCTCACTCAGCTGTGTATCTCCTTGTTGCTGAAACTTTTGGAGAAGCACAGATGCTGCCTGGGGTGGTCTTAATTCAGGAAGGACTTTGCCGATCCCAGTGTGCGAGGTGTGTCAGAGCTGCAGTGGTGGATCAGCTGTGTGTTGCCCATACAGTGGTGTGTGCCCTTTCCTTCAGCGGTCTCATGACTCCCAAGATGCAGAGCCTGAAAGGAATTGCAGGGGTCATAACTCTTTTGTGCTTCCCAGGTGCTTTTTCTACATGTGTTTTGGTTTTGTTTCTCTTACTGTGGGACTCAGCCTTATCCTGTACTTTATGGATGGTCTTTCCAAAATGAGGCTGTGTCACCATAGAGAGTCCTTGCTTACCTACTGTGAGCACTCTGTGTGAGAGAATATACTCCTGTCCCAGGAATGATCTGTAGCTTGGCACTGTCTGCAGCTCCCTTGCAGGGACTGCCTGCCTTTAAACAGCAGTTGGTGCCTTGCTGTCATGTGTTTTCTTTCCTTGGACACAGTTTTCTATGAGGAACCCTTCAGGATCTCTTCAATGTGCAGATCAGTTGAGTCCTTGTTCCCTCTGCAAGGTGTTGGGGAGGGAGGACTGTGGGCTTTGTTTGTTTAGGAATTTGTTTTTCTGAGCCACGTGCAGGGTGAGAGAGGAGTGAGATCAAAGCCCCTGTGAACTCTCTGAACGTATTTCACAAGTGCTACAATCAGTTCTGAGAGGGCTTGGATTTTTGGGAGGTCTGCAGTTGATTTTGAAACTTCAGGTCCTTTAATTGAGCTTCACGTTAGGGAACTCACGGGAGGTTTTTATCAAGTATGTTCATTAACATATGGGGAGACCAAAAACGGGGCAATAGTAGCATTAAGTCCAGCTCTGTATGAACATGGGGAGCTGGTGGAGTCCCTCTTCAAGTGCAGGGTGTCACCGAAATGACTGGGAGCCACAGTTCCCATTGGGTTGTCAAAATCTGGATAAGGAAATGGTGGTGACATCCCAAAACGGGATCATTGTTAAAGCTGCTAGGGTTTACTGGAAGTGGCACTATTTTTGTTGTATTTCTACTTTGGTTTTTTGATGGTTGCTGTATTTTTTTTATATTATAAGTTAAAATGGGTGTTAGATGGAGCTGCACACACAGTAAATAGTAATGTGTTAGGCATTCTGATTTGTTTTGGTGCTGTTCCATGCCAACTGTTGGTCCAGAGATTAATGGGATGGGGAGGAGGGGGAAGGGGAAAAAAGGTTGGAATAATGTTGGAAAGATAAGGGTCATTTTTCCTTGTACCCTTTAATCGAGAAGTCATCATTACCATGTTCATTTTTCACGTTATGTATCTAATGCTGTGTGTGTGTGTGTATATATATATATATATATATGTATAAATATGCACTTATGTACTTGGCATAAACATGAAGCAAAGCTGACACCTGGAACATTGTCTAAGTAGTTGATATATGTGTGCTGAACTTTTAATAATGATTTTATGGTACAGAGGGTGACCTCGGAAAAACCTTCACTGTATTTCAGTGGCAACTGATTAATTGATAGATAACCTGGCTCTTCCTGTGAGCTCATAAAACACACTGTTAGTTAAAAATGTTTTTACTAGACAGATTTATGGGGACACTTATGCCTATGCTGTTGATTTCTGTTCTTAATTTCATCTTGCCTACCTGACAGTAACATTCAAACCATTCTTTTTCCTTCATTTTTATAAACTGCATTATTTAAAACTCTGGAATATTCTTGCTTATTTTCAGATCTCATCAGAAAAGTAGCACAGCAGCAGTTGGGAAATTCACGGGGCGATTATCAAAAGGTAAATTATCTATGTGTATTTGCATAAAATAACGAAAATTATTACTTTGAAATTCAGTTTTGTTTCTAAAACAGGAATTAGTATTTTAAAACTCTACTAACAGGATAGAAATACTAAGTTTTTGATTAACAAGTGTGATGATTTTATGAAAATTGTGGGACCAAAACCTCTCAAAAGCAATTACAAAGAAAATTCCATAAGCCACTGTAAAGAAACTAATCATAGTTAAGGCTGACTTATAAATTTCAGCTGTAATGTGATTGCAGTGTCTGTTGCACAAAGATTGAAGGCTGTTTGTATTAAAAAATACTTCTTTTATTTTAAAAAAGCTTAGAGAGAACCATCACTGCTCAGCTCTCATGTAAGCTTCAGTTGTTTTCTTCAAAAAGCTGAATTTATGTGCTGGTTCTGGTGCCTTTGTAAGATGAAGTTCCCGGGGCCTGCTTACAAAGTATATTTTAGCTTATGTAGTGTGTTAATCATGTGGAGGATATTTTTATTATCTCTTTAGGTTTGCGAATATCCTGTAACAGTTGAAATTCTTGGTGTATCTGGTAGCAAGAAGGTGGAATGTAATGTGCATCTGATTTTGGGGCTGTTCTCAAGGACGGTGTTCTGCTTTTGAAACAGTGCCAGGGGCTGTCTGCAGTAGGAATCTTAACTATGACCAGGCAGTGACAAGTTACTTCACATGAGGTGCTTGCTTATAGTCCCTGCAGTGTGGTGTACCTGTCAGGAGGATGAGGATGGCACTTGGCATACAGGCACTGAGCTACTGCCCTGAACCAGGATGGCCTGTGTGATCTTGGTATTGGAAAGGGGAAAGCCTTGTGCTTCCCTGTTCTACCTGACAACAAACTTGTTTCTCCAGTAGCTTGATAACCTCTGCATGACGTCCTGGTGTGTAGGTATTGTTGTGATGCATCAGGTGACTCTTGCTGATCCCATGTACATGACGGGCTCTAAAAGAGTGGTGCATCGTAGATTGTGGCTGTATACCCAGGGAGCAGTGTAGGCTTGGGCTTGGTTGGGAGAGCTGGGACAGAACCGTTAGGCCATAGGTTGTGTACATGAGCACAAGTTTAGTGTTTAGTAACTAGTACATAAGTCTTGAGAAATCTGAGACTGATGACAGCTCCAGTCCTGCATAGGGGATGTGCTTGTTGAAATACAGGCCATTTATCAGTCCAAATTCTGACCTGAATAAAGTGCAAAACTTCGAAATAAATTTGGAAAAAGAAAATACATCAGGAGAAGTAGGGTGCTGTTCAGAAGACAGAAGCATTAGTGAGAGTCAGCTGTGAAGCAGCCAGCACGGCTGTAGGTGTGCCCCTGGAGGAATTTCCAGTGGAGGTGGGGAAGTGTGAATGTTGCTGAAGGGTGTGGGTAAGTAGTTAGAAATGTTTGCCTGTGGTTCTGATCACTCAAATTCAGGAAAAATGAACTTAGACTAGGATGAGTTCAGAAAGTGTCCATTAGGGGGATCTGGAAAACCTGTGGGTCTTCAGAGGAAACTGGAAGAGTTTGCTTAGGAAAAGAGTTGATAAGGGGCACGATTACCTTTTAAAATATATGTGGAGAGGAAGCACCAGGAAGAAAGCACTGCTCCTTGTGCAGAAGACAGTGCTAGCACAGAAACTAAGAGGCTGAAATATGTGCAAAGGGACAGAAATCATGTGCAAATCCATGTGAGAAGAAAACCTGCTCACCAAGCATTGGGAACAGCCCTTCAGCAGCAAGGACAGGAAATCTGCTTCTCCTATTTATCCTGTTAAATTTCTGCTGTCGTTTCTCTGTATAATTTTTTTTTATAACCTTTTTATAGAAAGTGTTAGTGACCCAGGAGGCCCTTCCCACTTCTGTGCTGTGTGTCCCAGTGTTCCCAGTTGGACTCTTACCATCAGCATCTCCCCATCCCCTGCCAGGGGCAGCAGTCTGCCAGGACAGCCCAGCAGCTGATCCGAGCCTGCTCTGGGGAGCCAGCTCACTGCTGCTGCCATTGCTTTACTTCTGCTGGGAGAGTCCTTGCGTGAAATGTTCAAAATCATAGTTGGTACTAGATCTGTAAGGGAGGGTAAGCAATTGTTTTCCTCTCATTAGTGTGGGAGAAAATATGTTGATATGTTAAAAAATACGGTTTTGAACATTTTAAGTAATATTGTGCAGTAGAGATTTCGTAAAGACGTATGTGATGCTGAAAAAACGTCCTAAAACTTGAACATTTATGATTTTCGCATGTCAGACTTTGGATTGAGGGGTCTTGCCATCTTTAGCTTTTCCACTTCTCTTCCTATTATGAGAAAGGGGGAAAGCATTAGGAGCTGTGGACTTGTCATGCAGACATGAAGGGGAAAATACAAGAAATTCTATTTCCACTATGGAAACAAAGGGAAAATTGGGTTCTCTTGCAGTTCCTGTCATTGAATATTTAGTCTTTAGTGTTTTTCTAGTATTACAGATAAGAAGACCATTAAGAACTATTAAAGAGATTTCTTCAGATTTTCTTGAAAGTCTCCTTTTTTTTTTTTTTTTAATTTAGAATAATGTAAATTAAACCTCTACATGATTAGTTAAAAGTGAGGATGAATTTTGTATGTAATATGTTAAGATCCCAAAACTGCTTGTGGAGCTACCAAAATAAAATTGAAAAGAAAAAATTAGTCAGGATTATCATATCAGTTATGACAGGTGGAGTTCATGAAGCAGTCACTAAACCACAAAGTAATGCAGTCTCTGGCCTTCTGTGAGATGTGTTGGGATTTATATGAAATAGATGCTCATTGTGGAAGTAACTGGTCTGTCGTTGTTTTAAGATGAAATTGTTTGTTGGACAAATCCTAGATTCCTTTCACTTACCAGGGAAACTAGAAAATATGTGCCATGTATTTTATTGTAAATATTTTTCCATAATTATTTAAAGGCACTTCTGTGCCTTATTTTACTTTAGCAGCTTTCATTATTGTTTCTGTGTTGTTAATTGTTGTGGTCATGACTAATTGTTTATTATTCACGGGATTTGTTTTTTGTGCATGCTGCCTGTGTATTATACACATTCTCCATTTGTTTTGACTTCTGCAGCCAGAAAATGTTGTCCTGACTCTTCAGGTAATGTCTTATGGTAGATGTACACTTTGAAAAGAAACTAATCATGTCTGTGTGCATTACTTCTGTTAGAACATCCATAACCCTTTTTAATGTTTTTAAATACTGTTTTTCCATCTAATCTACCTTAAAATAACTTTACATTGTCAAATAATTTTTGAAGTGTTCAGCTAGATAGAAAAAACCCCAGTAATTCTTTTGCAAAATCTAGCCAAATTCTTCTTCCAAACATCTTACTCATATTCTTCAGAAGGAAGCGAAAGTTTTAACCAGCAGTTAATAATAATAATAATAATAACAAAAATAATAGTTTTCGTCCTAGAATTGGTAATTAGGTCAAAAATTTGCAACTCTGGTTATGGTGATGGTTACTGTATTCAACTCAGTTCATAATTAGGGATTGTGAAGAAGGAGATCATCAAAGCTGGAACTGGAGGATGATTGATAAATAGTGAGAAATTCTATCTTACTTTGCAGGACAGTTACACAGCCTCAATATCGTTCCTTCTCTGCTAAGTTGCCCTTGTTTTAGTGTAAAGCAGGAGAGGACTCAAAGTACTAGTGTGAGGAGCAGTTCTCCTAAAATTGGGAAAGGAAAGGAGAAGAGAGATTTATCAGGGAAGAAAGAGCACTGGGACATGTCCACAGTGTGCTGTTACCTCTGTGCACAGACACACCTGCCTGATCCAGTCTGGTATGGGGTAGCTTGTGTTTCCAGCAAAGGGAAACAGCACGGCGAGCTCACAGCTTGTCCCTTTAAGCCCTTTGTAGGGCTGTGCAAGGGCTGCCTGGCCCAGCTTCCTGGTCTGAGGTCTCTTGCAGTGTAGAAGCTGGTTAGGGTATGGAACTGCATCGTTCCCTTTCACTCCCAGCTTTTCAAAGTGTCCTTTTAGTTGCTGCTGCTTTGCTGTTTGGCAGCAGAATAAATGCCTTTACCTGAGAGATCTTAAAATCTGTCTGCTCCTTCATGTTTTCCTGTCCCTAAGCAGTTTTAAATTCAGCAGTTTGGAGGAACCTCTGCCATTGTAATCGATCATCCAGTGAAGTACTTCCCTTTGCGGTTCATAAGAATCTTTCTACTCAGAAGCAAATAAAAAGGAGAAAAAGCTAAGCCTCCCTTCCCCCTTCAAGAGGTGTTGCTTTAGTTAACCTTGCTGACATTTGTGGAGCCTTTTTGGAAACAGATGTGAGAAACAGTAGATTTGTGGTCCAGGAAATTGAATGTGTTCATTTTTAACCTGTTTCAATTGCACTGATTCCATTTATTTCTTGTGAACCTACTTCTCTCTTAGCACTCACTCTTGTAGTTTGCCTAGCTAGTAGTCTAGCCAAATAATTATTAGCTGTCAGTATCTACAGTGTTATGTATCTTTTTGTTAGAAAAGTTGTCAATTATTGACAAAATATACCAAGCCTGTAATCTTGGTAACTTAGTAGATGGTTTAGTCCGTAGTTTGATTTCTAATTATTTGCTCTATATTGATTGCAGTTACTGTGTGATACCTGCTATTACCACTATTTTTGTCTGACTTGCAGGCCATCTACTATGAAATCGGTTTTATAGTCTCCGCAGCCTTGGGATTGCTATTTATTTTGTTACTGCCTCTTGTGGGACTTTGCTTCTGTATGTGTCGTTGCTGTGACAACTGTGGTGGGGAAATGCATCAAAGACAGAAGAAAAATGCTGACTGTCAGAGGAGCTGTTTTGCAACATTTCTTTTTGTTGCTTCTTTAATAATAAGGCAAGTGTGATACATAGAACAATATGAAGCTTGGTATAGCACATATTTTGCAGTGTCATACGACAAATAACATTACTGTATTAGCCTACAGGTGCAGACATTATTTTATTATTTATTTACACCACAATGTTATTGGTTATTAAAGAAACTGTAACTATATTATAAAAATGCTGCTACCATTACTATCCACAGGTCATTATATACTTGCTTGAGCAGAATGTAGGTGTGAAACAAAAAAAGAATTGTTTGAATTCAGCAAGTGAAATTTTGGCCAGTCTCAAAATGGCAATTGCAGAATGTTACAATAAAGTTATGAGAGACTGTGTCCTGTGTTCAGTTACCATCCCACAGAGAACCTGAGGTACAATGTACTGCTTTGTTCTTGGTAGTGTTGTACTGGTGTGAAAAGCAATTGTGTGGCTTCCTCCAGTATTTGCTGTCCTCCAGATATTCTTGTGAGTTCAAAATAATGTTTTTTTCTTTTGAGTTCCTAGTTGTTTAAACCATGTATGAACTCTTTATAAATCCTGGAATTTGGAGACATTTTTGCACAATTGGTGTTAGGAGCACGCTCCTGTGTTACGTATGTAATGGGTGATGAGGAACTACAGTCAAGATTCTTCTTTTCCCTACTTCCGAAATAAATTGTTTGCTTTCAGGCTTTCTGTTTTCCTTTAACTTCCTCATATTTTCACCTGCCTTCTATGCTTATTTTGTGATTATATTAAAAGAAAAAAAAGTCTTTTGATCTGTACCACGTGACTGTTCAGTCAGGTGGGATGTACTTTGTCACTTCATTGTAATGTAGAGTTTGTTTTCTACTACTGTGTGTTGTGACAAACTGACACCCCTCGCCTGTGCTCAAATGGAGGTCATGCTGATATCAGGTATGGGAACATGCTCTTTTCTCTCAGATATCACTAACAAATGAGACCCTTAGTATTCTTAAAACTAGAAACCTGAATCATGTTGTAGGTGGTAGGTGCATCCCTGCCATGATGACAAGATAAAAGTTCTTCATGGTACAAGGTGCCCTGAAGACAGTAAATTATTAAATTACCTCAGCATACCAAAACTGAAGGTAGCTCACAGAGCTCACCAGCTGTCTTTACACTGCCTTGCAGGATGCTACTTTCTGGTTATAATGACTGAGGGATGTCTCCTGTCAGCAGAAAAATTAAGAGATCGTCCCCCTTGTTGGTCTCTTAAACTTGTGCATTTGGTACCAGCTATCCTTGTGGGATTAAGCATACCCAGCATTGGTATGGTCATGACTGACAGATCAGCAATCTCTAGTAATATGCTTTCCAGAACTAGTGAAATTACCTCTTTAATTCCTCCTTTTTTTTTTTTTTTTTTTTAATCCTTTTCCATGAGACATCAGGAGTATCAGATGCTTACCCTAGGGAGGAGTTGGCCTGAGATCTGTCTGCAGGTTTCCATGAGTAGGGATAATCTCATATGACTACCTGGCTAAGTCTCTAATGCTGTGAGTGCTGTGCAAGGCAAGATAGAACTTTACAAGGCTAATATTACTGATCCCAGCCTGACTGAGGTCTCAGGTCTCTGGTACACCTCAGTACACAGAGAGATTCTCCTGCCCTTCCTGGATCTTCTTTCACAAGGGAGGAGAAGATCCCATGCCTGGATCTATTTGAACCCATGTCAAGTTGCTTACTGCAATGCTGCAGCACAAAAGGACAGTCTTACTGGTAGCCATTGCCTCAACAGAAAAAAAAAGAGAAGGCCTGAGATTTACTTAAAACTGTTTCTACATGTCTTGTACTGTACTCAAACTAAGTCTTCTGGATTTATTATCTACTTTTCCCCAAAGTTTCCATGCAGTTTCAGCTTAGGTGGAAGATTTACCTGTAGTGCTTCCCGTAATCACACGTCTCAAGTACTGTGCCAAGCTAAATGTGTAAGCTGTGACAGTAACCAAAAGAGTGTAGTCTGTGAGAGTAAAGTGCTTATGGCTACTTGCAGACAGAGCCAAAAAAAACCAAACTTGAGTGATCTCCACCAATACAGGGTTTACATCAGTATAAGCTCTGAAACCACTAAGGTGGGTCCTGTCATTGTTTGGGTATAGTTTTGAGTTCATGCAGCATTGAGGGTCTCCTAAACCCCTTCCAGGTGACTGGAACACTGGTGATTCCTTCACCAAGAGCTGTGCTGCTTCAGAAGATGCATTTATCAAGGATGGCATCCATCAGGGTACCCTGAACCCGCACCACTGTCAGGGGAGCTCTGCCTTAAAGGCACTCCCATGGAACATTCATGCAGTAGCGGCAGGAGGGACTTCTTCAGAATTACCCTCTGAGTGTATATTCTGCATCTGTCTTCATCTTTCTTGCAGTGCCAACCATTCTGAGATTCTCTTAAAGGATCAGAAGAACATTGAAGAGAGCAGGGAGCATTGAGCCATGTTCCTCTTTTTTTCTTTCTTCCTCCTTTCTTTTTCTTAATTTTTAAAAATTTTTTTAATTAACTTTTCTATTTTTTTCAGTCCTTAGTATGAAAAAATGGTTCCAAACTGTCTTTCCTTGGCTGGAAGAGACAAATTAAATGTATGGTAAAGAGTATTAGGGGAAGGACTCTGAATTCAGAGCCTGCAATAGATTCTGTATGTAGGTAACAACTCTAGAAAATTCTAGTAACATGGGGGATGGTTTTTCTGTGTGTCAGCATGCAAGTTCACACTGACATATATATGCTGTTAATGTAGATTTTAGAATAGTTCAGCTAGTAGATTTTAATCATAATGAACATTTCTTCTCACTTTTCCACTGATGTAGTGCTCTGGTAATTAGGATGAGGTTTTAATAATAAGCGTATTGGGTGATGTGTAAAGGCAATAATAGTATGACAGATTTTCTTTTATTTTTTAAAAAGCTCTACCTAGATCTGCTTTCTGCAGGTGGGGCATAATGTGAGAAGTTCGGTTTCCTCAAGGTGGGGTATAAGAAAGAAGTCAAAAAACTTGTGGTTACATAGGCAGTTGTTAATCTTAAACTAAATAGGCCGTTAGTGTATCTTTTTCTAGTATATGCACTTTGTGTTTTAAAAACTTTTTTTGTAGATTGAGTCAAAAATGCATGCTGTGTTTTTGGTAATTCACAGCTTCTATACAGGATGTTGCCATAGAAAGTAGGATTCTTGTGCTAAAGAGCAGAGGATATAGAAATAATCTATCAAATACATAACTTAGTAGATTTCATATTCCAGATTTATAATGAGTTAAATTACGTGCTTTTCTTCAAAGATGAACTGAGAGTTTAGGGACAGAGACCTGCTATTACCTCTTATTTCCTAGTCATCTGCAAGCTTAGGCAAACGTGTTTTTTTCTGGGAAAGAAATGTAATTTCCTTAATTCCTCTATATTATAAAGGGAGGAACATTGGATTTTTAAGAAAGCATGTGTTGCAATACCAGACTTGCTGGTAATACAAAATGTCTTGACTATTGAGTAGAAAAACACATAATCAGTTTTCTGTCCTTCCAAGACAGCTTGTGTTATAACCTCTTTCTTGAAGTTGTGGATGTTATGTAGGAGGCTAGGGAAAGCCAAGTCTGGAGGAGTGGAATGGTATTTGGCATCTTGGCAAGTGCCCTGTGCAGGCTTCACAGGCATCCCTGGCTTAAGGTTGGTAGGACATGTTCAGAACTTGGAAATCAATATTTTCTGAAAGAATTGGTGGAAAAATTGGTACAGAAATCTCTATCCCATTATTTTCTTAAATTCATTAGCTAGTAGTGAGGAAGGGGGACAGTCTTCCAATATGTAAATCTGCTCAGGTTTTCTATTCTGTGATGACATTTTTTGCAAGTTCACTAAAGGAAAAGCTTGTGTTTCCCTCTGCATCTGGATTAGTAACATTTAAATTGGTCTGTGAAACCTGACAAGAAACTTAAGTGTGGAATATTGGACTCTGAAGAATTGTTTAAACAGTTCTCTAATCTGTTACAGAAAAAGCATATCCTTCTTGCTTTATGACAGAAGCATGTCCTTTTTATTCCTGCTTTATGACCTTCTCTTTGCAGCTGCTTATTGAATGTTGACTCAAGGCTCAGTCACATAGTAAATAGATTTTTCCTCTCTCCTGTTGTGTGTTTGTTTACATTCACAATTGTTCTGAGCGCCTTGAAGTATCTCCACTATCTTGTTTCCTCCCATGTAGGAAGCTAAAGAGAAAGATGATAATGCTCGAGTCTTACAAAGCACTGTTTTGTTAGCTCCCAATTGACCTTTCTGCTCTGTGAGCGTAGCACTGAAAGGACACATAAACGTTGGTTGTCTAAAGAACGAGGATGTGGTTATAGACTGAGCCTCAGAGCAATACACAAATGTTTGCTTTTCCTGATAGCTTGAGATAGGTTTTCTTATTAACAAAGAAAAAAACCCACTTTTGATAGCAATTGCCGTCACAGTAGAGTGAAATAAAATAGTGTATATGTCCAAAATTAAATCGCTTACTTTTGCTTGTCATAGAATCACAGGATGGTGTAAGTTGAAAGTTACTAAGTTCCTTGGTATTTATGCATTCTGAGTTCTCATCCCTTGGGGGAGGTGGTAGCTTGATACGTGGCTGCTTGAGCGTTGGTCATAGTGGAAATAGAACTATGCCATTTGCTGTAAGTTAAGTAAGTAGGAAGGTGAATGTGTATGTCCCTTTGTTCCTTAGTGATTTCTGGGAGGTTAATTAATAGCCAGACATGGCTATGAAATTTTGAGTAGAGAAGCAACCTCTTTATGTAAAACTCTGTCATCCTGTTCCGAATGTTTATGGATATTGAGGAAAGTGTTAGTGAAGGGATCCTAATAGACCTGCACCTGTGGCATGCTCTGAAATTAGAATTTTCCTTCTGAGAGTTTTTGTCAGAGCAGCAGAAATTCTTATAGTTGAGATCAGTTTTACCAGGAGAACAAACCTTTACATTTGTTTGGGAAAGCAAAATAAAGATGAAGGCTTGGTTTTGATTCACTGAAGAAGGAGATAAGCATTGTGAATGAGGATGTTTGCTCCTATCTTGCCAGGATACACAAGTCACATTATTTTAGATACTCAGTTGCTCTCCACCGTCTCATTTATGTGGCTGTATTAGGGCTTTTTTTGAACGTACATTCTTTGGAGCAAAAGTTATACTTTCCATCTGTCTTTTTCCCCATAGGGAACCTGGTATAGGGTTTTCTTTAAGTCTAGTATCTAGGTCCTCTTGACACACCAACTGAGGAAGTTTGACAGTCTGGAAAGAGTATGGTAGCATTTGTGTCAGTGATTCCCTTCTCCTGTGTTTGGATGTCTGTAATGGCTTTTCAGAGTACTCCCTCTCTATTATTGAGCTGTTTTATTACACCACAAAGTGAGAGACTGAACAAATGTGCCAACCAGGAATTGCCTGTAACGCACCTGACTGCAGCCTCAAGGCAATGTCTGTCCTTTGGGGGTGTATCCTGCCGGTGGTGAGTGGATCTCTGCTGTCTACTGAAAAGTTAGTGCTTAACCCATCCAAGGGGGTTTGTAGTCATCTTGATTCTGAGGCTGTTAACACTCTGGTCGTTACTCTTGACTTTTCTGGTACTTGTCTGAAAGGTCAACTGTTGTGAATGTGAGATGTTAAAAAACAAAAGTCATCCTTCTGTTTAAGTCCATTTTACACCTAAGCCAAACAAAAAACTAAGGATTGTGTATGCTAATAGAGCTTCAAAGACTCTCATGGGACCTGTAATTGCCTTTTTACTTACTGTTTTTGCAGATCTGCCATGCTGTAATTAGAATTTTACAGTAGGGAGTGATCAAATAGAAAATAATCAGCAGCAGTGCTGACTGGAAGTCTAGTTTACTTGCCACCTTTTGTTTCAGTATCAGGAAATGCTTGTATATTATTTTAGCTTTATTAGGGACTATCCATATGCTTCTGAAAAATCCATGTAATTATGTAAATAAGCTGTGCCATTATGAATAAATCTTGCTGCTGAAGTTATCAAATGAAAAATATTCTTTTTCACAGTTAACTTATGAGCATTTACTTGTAGCTGTGTCAAGGTTAATGATACTTCTAAAAGAACCTGGCATTTCTAAGTCTCATACAATTTACCTAGGCTATCCACATTTTCTGACAGTGCCCATGCAAATTGATTTGTTTGTACATAAACAACTTCTGATGACTTTGGGTTAACATCGCTTTTTTTTTTTTTTTTTTTAATTAGTAGTACAATATTGGCCCTTACAGTGCATTCCTCAACTCTATCTCGTGGTGCATATGATAACCTCTAGTAAGAAAAAGAATGTGTAAATTTGTGGAGACCTTTCTTTTGATAATGTTGACTTTTTTTGTTTTGTTTAATGTTAGAATATGCATTTACAGTAACAAATATCTGTTATCTGTATTTTTTGTAGTGTTGGAGTACTCTGTGCATATGCTGCCAACCAGCATTTAACTAACCAAGTCCGAGGAGCAAAGAAACTGGTTAACAGTAATTTTAAAGATCTGAAAATTTTCCTTAACGACACTCCAGCGGTAAAGAATTTTTTCCTTATGGGGAATGAGGGTGGGAGGGAAGATGTGTAGATAAGAAATATTGCAGAAAATAATTTTTTCTTTCTATTTGGATTAAATCAGTAGTTTTCCGTTTATTCTCTGTGTTTCAGTCTCACTAAATACAATAAATGATGCAAGGTAAGATACTTTCTAGCAGAAGATAAATAATTTGGAAAAATAAGGTTTTAAAAGGAATACATACAAAAACATATATTACACGTAAACTTGGATTCCCTCTTGCTCTTTCCTGTTTCCTTGTATTTTGGACTTAGTTGTATGTGCTCTGGGACTGAGCCACAATAACTTTGTTTCCAGGAATATTTTGGACTGATTTTTCTTTAAACCAGAGTCATACTGTACCATACTGAACAGGAAAGATTCTTCCCTTTCAGACTTTCCTTAGAGTCCCATAAGCAGTCCTCTGCATATCTTGTTTTGTATTGAAAGCAAAAAAGAAATGTTAGTGAGGAAGGGTTGTAAAGAATGTACAATTTCAATTCTTTGTGAATTTGTAGAGGGGAAAAAAGTCTGACAGCTGTATTACCTTGGCTTTCATTAATTTTAATTATTTGAATTTAATTTTATTCATCTGTTTTAATTCCATGAAATTAGAAATAGGTGGAATTCATGCAATTATGTGGAATCCACAAGTGTGGTAGCATTCCAGTCACAGTAACTCTGGGCTGTTATGTTTTTGGTTTTGTTTTTTTTTTTTGCTGGCCAGAGCTGTATGAGAACAGGAGACATCTGGGGTGTGCCATAAAATGTTTTCTTATCTGGAGATGTTCCCTATACAACTGTTAGTTTGCATGTGCTGCTCTGACAGACCAGTGGTGGAGGTGTATGGCAGGAACTGAAGGTCATGCCAATAACCCCTCTTGAAACAGAGTGCCTTTTGTCAGTCTGGAGCTGACAGTGAGCACGGAAGGATTCATCCAGTCACATCAGAAACCACCAGAGTCCCTCTGACAGCACACTGAGTGCTGACAGTAGGAAGATTTGTTATGAAGAAGTAACTTACCTTAATAGAGGAAAAAATAGACACTGGCTAAAAAGTTATTAAAAATGCTGAATTATTAAATTTAAAAGTGTCAGGACTTGGAACACTTTTGCCAGAGGTTACTCAGAGTCTCATTTAGCATTTTTTTAGTTTCAAAACAGGATTATTACTTTCTGTTTTTTTAGACTTGGTGCTGATGCAGTCATCAGCTGTATCCTCTTAAGTCATTTTGTCAGTCAAGGTGCACGAGTATCATGCAGACACACATTTGTAAGAATTTCTTGAGGAAATGAGAAGTGCTTCAGCTTTTTGAAAAAGTTCTAGAATCCAACCAATTGGCTATAAAGCTCTGAGATCTGAATTGATGTCTTTGACTCATCAGTATGAGGTATGTACAGCATGTAAGAGGATTTGAAAAAGAAGTCCTCTGTTTAAAGTTCATGTCACAGAAGATTTGCAGACTGAGAGTATTGAGTGATAACACTATTAGTTATACAGAATCCCCTTTTGTCTTTGACATTGCTGGAGACAATGCAAAACCTGTAGCCCTGCAAAATTTTAGCCCTTAGGTTAGCCTATGTTGACAAACAAATAAAAATATACCTACAGCCTTCTTAGTAAGAAACTCAAATATTTTTTCCTATTTTACAAAAAGAAGGTCTGCTTCATACTTTGTCATTTAATGATGTCCACTGCTGTATCATCAGTAGGTTGTTTTGAGGGTGTTTTTTGGTCTTTTTTTTCTTTATTTCACAGAGACTACAAGCCAGGCATGTTTTGGTACACATTTGAGTCGTGCTTAAAATTGAAAATCCATCTGTCAAGTGTGTTAACCTTTACACCACTCTAACTGGGTTGGGGTAGAATTCATAATGCGTTATTTTAAACATGCAGAAATTAATGAAGGTTGTTTAATGTCTTTTCAAAATTAGTATAAGATTTCCACTAGGGATGGTTCCTTGATAGTCTTTTCTCCAAACCCAGTATCTGGCGATAAACTAAGTTGCTGGTTTGTATTGTTACGGTGTCTTGGTAGGGCTCAAGTTGAGACCAAATCCTCTTGGAGGTAAGGAAAATTATTTCCATTAAGGCAGAGCAGCTGTCTCCTTTCTGCAAGAGAAACTCTGAGAGACTGCTCAGACACAAGTCAGTGTGGTTGGTGAACTGCTTCAAAATTACCGCTGCCTCAGTGCCTCACATCTCTCTGTGAGGGAGAAACTAATGCCACGAGAAAATCAAGGAATGAAATTGGAGAGATGCAAAAAACCTTATTTGCCTGACTGACTCAAAGCCTTCATGAGGCCACAGTTCCTGCTACTTAACTCTTTTAAGCTGAATCATTTACCACAGAGAAGTTCCAGTTAAGGAAGTAAAATACTTAGTTAACTGGAAACAGTAAAGAGCCAGGGAGTTGGCACAAATATTTTGATTGTTTCAAGCTAACAGTTTTACACATTCAAAAGCATCCCTTTTTTCCAGTTCTTTTAATGTTTTTTTTTTTAATCATCTTCTTTACAGCAAATTGACTATTTGGTGAGCCAGTACAACACAGCTAAGGATAAAGCACTCTCTGACCTAAATAGTAAGTACTTTGATTTAAGGGGGGTTAGCAGCATGTATTCAAAAGCTTCAGTAAGATAATGTAATTAGCTCATAGTGCAAAGTGAAACTTCATTTATAAGAATATGGTTTCCAAACAGAAGTGCTGTTCTCAGTAGTATAGAAGACCAAAATCTAAAATTTTTTTCACATAAAAAGTCTCAGAGCTGGTGTAATGTGTAGTATTTCCTGACATAAAGGTCTTTTATTAAATTGTTTATACATTAAGACAGGCTAATATTTTACTTTCGTTTTTATAGTTCAGTAACAATACTTGAAGCTTTTTTTGGAGTATTTTTCCTCAGTTTTTAAATTGAAACCAAATATCAGTGAACGGATCTACTAGCAGTTATGATGGTTCCAATGAGTGAGAGATCTCTGTTTATTTTTCTTGTTGCACCTTTGTCCTCTACTCAGCTATAAGCTGAGGTATAAGCTTATCCCTTTTCTAAAGCTGCTTAATGTATTTGCCATTTCAGAATGAGCAGTTGAAGAGCAGGAGATAAAACTTGAAGTAGAACTGCTGCACTTTCCCCTTCAGCACAGCTACAATATGAGGCATCACCTTTTAAAGCTCTAAGTCAACAGAAACAACCAGAAAGCTGATTTTTTTTTCTTTTGTTATTTAAGCTTTGCTTTACAAAACTCGCAATAGAAAGGGCTGGCCGTATTCAGTGCAGATGATAATTAAAGTTGCATTTTTATCAGGTGTTAGTAAATGCACACAGGTCTGCATTTCTGGCTGAAGGATTGTTGCTGGGGTCAAACTATGCAACTGTGGCATCATGCCAGTTACCATAAATTGACTTCTCCTGCCTAGAATCTATGCTTCTGTCTAGTTTAAAATGTATTTTAAAGGTAGTTTTCAATGCAACCAGCTTGGCTGCACTGAGGTTGATATGTCTTGTCTGTATGAGGGTATAATGCATATCAAATGTGAAAGTAGCAGTAGTCTTCCTGCTTAATTCTCAGCAGGAACACTCTGGTCTAAAAAGATGGAGGTAGGCTTTAAGTCTGTAAGAATAATAGTAATAAAACAAGATAGACATCTGCATTTCAAGTACTAGCTTGAAGCTTCTCAGCCACTCCAAACTGAAATTTCAGATTAAATGTTTATTAGTTCTTAATGCCAGTTTGTGATGTGAGTTAACAGAAACCTAGCTGGATCTGTGGTGAGAGTGATCAGCAGTAAATTAAGATAGTTTTCATTTTCTTGAAATACCAGAATTAAGTGTGTGACATGAGGGTACAAAAGGATTTCACTCTAAGGCAATCAGCAGTAGCATAAACCTTTAGAGAACTGTGTGTGAGTTGAGTTTGCCCACCCTAAGGAAAAGCTGAAAAGTGTTTCTGCTCGACAAAAATTCTCATCCCAGGCCACACATGACAGTACTGACAGTAATGGACGCTTCTGCACCATGCAGTATTCCCATCTCATCAAAAGCAAAAAACTCAAAAATGTGTTTACTGTGATCTGAAAATGCAGAGGACGCCGTGACTGCCTAAAGAATATGTTACATTAAAATGCTTCACCAAACTCTGCTTGGCATTTCTGTGTGGTTTTGCTGAACTGAGCTTCCTCTCTGCTTGTAGACAGTGAGACTGGAGTGTTGGAGGTGGGGGTTAGCTCTGGGTAAGGGTGAAGCCAGTGCTAGGAGCATCCATGCTGGGTGCACCGTGTGAGGGGGCAGGGACTGGAGACATGTTCTTAACACGCTTAAGGGATTTCAGCAGAGCTGGCTGGCAGGTCTGGGGTGTGGGTGACCTTGACATTGCTGGATACATGAGGAATAGGGGAAAGGAAAATAATCCATTTTTTAGTTTCTCTTGCACTATTAAAGCATAGCTTGAGTGAAAGAGTATACCACAAAATTCCTGTCCAGATGTTGGGCCTCTCTAACATAGATTGTGGAAAAAATCCTGTTTCCAAAAGAGTAGAAAATGCAATGAAATATATACTGTGGAGTTTGTTGAAATGTTATGTATCTTTACCTATATGATCCAGTGCTGGTGAATATTTTCCTCTATGTTTTGAGTTACTACTTTCATTTCTAGGCCTATAGCTAGCTAAAACAGAACCCTGCGTTACCTTTTGTCACTAAGTTCTGACTGTCAGGCCTTAGAAAGATTTCAATAATATATTTATATTAATATATATAAGTATATTTATAACAAATATAAATCTATTTGTTAAGTAAGAGTCTGACAGCACCTACACTAAGAGGTAGTTCAGTTGAACTAGTTGAACTAGTCTGTAATGTTTGTTTTTTTTATTTCTCCATGCCACAGATGTTGGACCTATGCTTGGAATCAGAGTTCAAGAACAGCTGGGAAAAGAAGTACGTCCTGCACTTGATGCAGCTCTGTCAATGGCAGGAGGTAAAGATGTCCTTTTTTTTGTATAATATTCTGTTGCTATGGTAAAACAGGCATTATCTTTCTAGGACACGGCATGGGATAGCTTTATGCACTACCATGAGTCAGCTCATCCTTCTACATGCCTTTTAAACTGAGGATTTCAGATATTTTAAGATTTATTAATACATTTAAAAGCTAAATCAAGATTTATGTGCTGTTGTTGATATTTAATTTCAGCAGTCACTGAAGAGAGATGAGATCTGCTTTCCCTGCTCCAGGTGGTTGTCCCTTTCTGTTAAATATAAGGGAGAGTAGGAAAACTGTCCTCTTAGAGCAGTCCATAGGTATTTGCAAGTTAGTCTTCAACAGGTCAGGGAATGAACCACAACGTGCTTGTCCTGTACGCTGCCAAGCTTATTATGGGAGTCCTATCCAGCATTTCTTCATTGTGTCTTTGAGTTTAGCCTGGCTCACACTTAGTTCTTTCTCCCTCTGGAGAAAATATTCCTTTATTATTTTTTCCATTTAATGCTTCTTTTTTCAGGAATCAGGTACAGCTTATAGAACAAAGGGAAAGACATCCAAGAACTTGAATTACTTTGGTTTTGTTTTGGCTTTTTTTTTAACCATTAATTCTTTCTCATTCATTTGTCATCGTTCTCCTTTTTGGCTTTATTTCTCTTATTTGTCTTGAAGTCAAAGTGGAAAGGGCTATCAAAGGTAAAAAACACAATAAAACTTTGTGTTGTGTGAAGTGCAGTTTATTTTTGTTACTTGTGTATTTTTAGTTGTGTTTGTGTGGTTCTTTGTGTACTAAACACTTGTTCAGTGTTTAGGGTGTTTTTTCATTTTGTTCTGTTTATTTGGTGTGATTGGGATGAAGTCTAAAGCCAGCGCTGAGCACTCATTAATGCTTGGCTGATACAACATGATCTCCTTTCCTTTCATCTTGCAGCTGCATAATTTTGACTTAGATTATAAGCAAAATACTGAAAATACTGTTTTGTGGATTTGGGCTTGCTTTCCGTTTCTAAATGACCAAGAGTTAGAGTTCTTTACTGAAATCACTGAGTAAGGAGAGGTAGGGAAAGGGTAGAAAAGAGTAATCTGAGAAGTGGATGGAATCTCAATAAAAATAGCCTGAGCACAATAATTTGTGTGTAGGAAAGCATAAGTGATGTATTTTTAGGTGCAAAAAGTACGTATTCTGTGCTAAGGGTTTTTCTAGGAGGGAGGCAGGGTTATTTGCATTAGTATTGTTAAGAATATCATAGCACTTATGCATGTGCACTTTCTCTTCCCATCTGTATATATAGTCTGCTTTCTAACTAAAGTGTTTTTTTTCAAAATTTCTCATCCTTGCAGCCATCAGAGAAACAAAGGAAGCATTGGAAAATGTGAGTGTCTCTGTAGAGGTTCTGCAGGAGGGAACAGAGAGGCTTCACACAAACTTGACAGATGTTAAAATGCATCTCAGCAACACCCTCAATGACTCCGCGTGCAATGCAGCTCAGGCTGCCTCCACCTGCAATATCATCAGGAATTCATTAAGTCAACTGAACGTCAATGCCAATTTCAGTGGGGTAAGATTTTGTAATAATATTTTTCAGACTCTTAGAGCGCAGTTGCCTTGAGCAAGCCCAGTAGTGTTTCTGCAGCTCAGTGGCTTGGTGCGTGCTGTCACTTGTCAGATAAGTGACCTTCCCTTATTCTGTGTTTCTGGGTAATTCCAGTCACTGTTTTCATCTTCTCTGTAGAAGAGAATAAAATGTGTGTCAAGCAGCTATGTTAAAGTGCTGCTCTGGGCAGTGAAATAACCTGCCCTCCCAAAAATGCAGAGGTTAAGCTTTGCTTTTGTGTAGCAGAGGTTTCAGGAGTGTGTTAGAAAGATTCTGCTACAAATCATTCTAGTTTCTTTACGCTCTCTCCTAACTGTGAAGTATTTACTAAATTAGAAAGACTGTTACTTCATGTGACTCAGGTGTGTTTTTTTGCTTCCTAGTTGCCAGGAGTGAGCTCACAGCTTGCAAAGGTCAATGATGTCCTTAAAATAGACCTTTCTAGTCTCGTTCAAAAGGTACGTTTCTTGATGGACTTGTAAACTCTTAATTAATAAACTGGGATACTTGTGTATCACTAGTTTTCCCTTGGTTTCTCAAGCAGAATTCCTTTGTTCCTACCTTGTCTTTGTGGTGGATGTCTCTCATTATTCCACTGTTTGGCTGAGATCTGATATTTGAAAGTATGAATGTAGTTCTTTGTATCTCCAGGATATTACAGGTCAAAAATGTTTGCAAGTTATTGGGTTGAAAGAACAATCCTGAAAGAACAAAAAGGCAGAAACATGGGTCCAATAGCATGCTCTATATTTTTTGGTTCAAGCTAAAGAAATAAAAACACCTATGCTCTCTGAATTAGTTTTACTGTATCGAAAGACTTCTTCTAAATTCCTTATGTACATAGTTGATATTAAATCTGGTGCAAAGGACAAAGTGTAATTACTATTAGTAATTTTGCAAGACTTTCCACAAAACACAATGATTTTCACTGTGAAAAAAAATTACTTAGTTTGGGCAGTTGAAAAATCTAGGAATCTGAAAACATTTGCTAGGAATTGAAGGCACTTTCTGGAACCAGTGTCTTCAGGCCCTTAGACCCCTGCCTGCTTATGAAGTGATCAGGCTTGCAGGGAGTAAGGATTCAAACATCTCCTTTCTGTCCAGATAACTCCTCAACTTTGTTCCCATGGCTTTGACCTAGTCTTTCACCTTTTCACTGAAGAAAGCATCACCCCATCTTTAGAGGCAGTTGGATTTTATTGTTTGTAACATGCATTTCATGTTTGGAAGGCACAGACTTGGAAAGAGGAGGCATTTGGCTGGTGCACACTAACTCCTTTCACTTAGGGAATTTTCATATGTGTGTTCTTGGTCTGACAGGCAGCAAAGTTTGAGGGGATTGTAACTGATTCACGTATATTTAAATTTAGCTTTTTTTTTTCAAGGTATGTTATGGAGAGCAAACTGAATCTGAAATATACTTTGGGTTCCTATTTTGCTTTCATCTTTTCTAATGTGTAGTGATAAAAATGTATTTTTCATTGTTTTATCACTTACATTTTCGCATACGTATACTTTTGATCCTTGAATAAATGGAAAAAATTGCAAGCAATTTGACAGTGAGAAACATGCTTTAATTTTTCCAACTTTTATTCTTAGGGCTATGCAGCTTTTAATGATACTCCAGATTTAGTGGTGAATCAAACCAGGAACATTTTATCAGGTGAGGACTATCTTTTCAATTTGATTAATGTTTTGGTTTTCTTTTATTGATAATATATTTTCTTGTCTAAAGATCATTAAAAATGGAAATGTAAGGATTAACTTTTTTTTTTTTTTTTTTTTTTTTTAAATCTAGTGCCAGGAAACAAACATAGAAGGCAACTGTGTCTTAATGAGGTCCCAAAATTAAATCTAAAAATAGGCCATATGGTATTTTATGGAGTAGTTTTATCTGTTGGGCATTTTAGTCATGAGAAATCTTGGGATCCCAGCTCCACGCTGACACTTTATTTAATTGAAAAGCTAATTTTCCCTGACTGATGTGTTTATGACATATTTAGGAGTGTGATGTTAAAAAAACTAAACCTGCCTGCTGTTGTATTAAAATGTAGTGGATGGCGAAGGGAAGGTAAAAATATGTCTTAAGGATAATTTAAATGTCTTAATTGTTTTATTACTTGGGCTTTACACTTTTTAGTCTTTGACCATACCTGTATGGTAGTATAGTGTATTTATACTAATCTGTTTTAATTTTTGTTCTTGCATTGTGGACCTGTTCTGCATTATATAAGCAGCTGTTCCTTGTAAGTTTTTCTGTTCTTTTTCTTCCCCTCCTGGGCAAAATGAGGGACAGTAGAGATAAGAGCATAGTGTACTGTGTGAACTTGCTTAAAATGAGCAGTTTTAGAAAACCAATGTTAATACCTTTCATTTGGAAACCTAGAGCAAATTTACTCATTTTCAGTATCTGCTGATATGTTTAAACACAGGCAAGCCATCTTAATTTATCTATTTATAAAGTTTTTGAGTTTGTTTGCACTAAACTGAGTTTGAGTTACAAAGCATATAAATGGGTTTAATAGAAAAAATGCATTTATTTATGAACTTTTAAAAAAGAACAATGTGTTACCTGGTTGATTTGAAGAGTACACATCAAAACAGACAATCTTGCTGTCTGAGAATAGAAGGTGTTGCCTACTACCAAATTGCAACCTGTAGTTATGCATTCTGCTGTACCAAGTATGTTTCAAGTTGAAAGAAGGAAAAGAGTATAGAGAAACTGCATTTTACACACAGACAATGTGTATAATAAGTGAATTAATCACATGTCTGTAAATCTAAGTAGAGTATATCTAAACTGTAAGTATAGGGTAACATGTTTGTTCAAATTCTGAGGGGAAAAATGGATTAATTGATCATTATCTGAAGAGTGTTGCTAATTAATTGGAAAGAATTTATTTAAGTAATCTCTTTTAATAAGGTTGAAAAGAACAAGTATAGATTCTCAATATAGGCAGTATAATTTCTTTCAGTGTTGTATTCCCAGGGCATGGAGTTTAAATAGATTTTGATCTTCTCCTTCATAAACTAAGTGGCTAATTGTCTTGCTCAGTGCTACCATTTGCAATATTGCATGAAAAGGAAGATTTAGTGAGCTAGATAAAAAGGTGACACATTCATTATAATGAAAGGCAAGGGGAAGAAGTCTGGCTCAACTTCTACATCTTTCATCATTAAACTGAATGCTAAAAGCAAAGTGTGCATTTTAAAATGCCGTTGTGTTACTTCAAAGCTCTGTGTTTTTGTTGCCTGCTTGTCTCTGCCTCACACTTGTTCTTCATGGCTTGCTTGTTACATGTGGCAAATGGCTTAATAGCATTTATAATGCATACATGGAATGTAAGTTTCCTCTGTGAATCTGTAACAGGGAAATATGTGTATTCTTTTAGATATCAAAAGCATGCTGGAATCCATTGGTTCAAATATTACTACCTTCACAAAAGCGCTCCCTGTTGAGAAGATTTTAGCAGATTTGATGGTATATCTTACACAGAGTGAGGCCTATGTTCAAGATTATTTTCCACTCGTGGAACAGTATGATTTCTACAGGTATGTACATGAAATAAGGCAGGAGTGTTACCCGTTGTTAATACATTTTAGTATTGTCCTTACAATGTGTGGGTTAACTGTACCTTGAGAAGAACATACTCCTTCTGTTTGAGACTTTGTGACCCTCACAGCTGAGTAATCTCATATTTTGAAGCATAAAGCTTTTTATTTCGTACCATCTACCTATTTCTAGATTTAGTAATTTCTGTTCTCAAGCTCATCAAATTCTTCCTACATTTTGTTTGATGCTTCAGTTGATTTTATAATTGATAATTGCTTTTATCTTTGTGTCATAATCAGTTTCACTGCTACAGACTGTGTGTTGATGCCTTTAGTGCTGTCTTACTTAAAAGACTGAGCAGAAGACTGAAACTTCTAGAACCTTATTTATAACCTTACCTTCAGCCCATTCCTTATCTGACAGTTTTTGTGGTGAGCCTTAATTTGACAAATCTATCAGTATTTTCTTTGAAGCTCATATAGCATTTAACCAAATAAATATATTGTTTTATTCTGCTACTGGAGAATATATCTCTTCTACATTGACACTTATACGTGTGTTTTTGTCTAACCTAATAGTACTTCAAGTACAAATGAAACCAAGAAACCTGTAGTTGTTCAAATTATTTTCTATCCATTCCTTTCTTAATTACAGGTGCCTTATTTGCAGTTCTTAATAAATATCCTCTTACAAATATACTGTCAGCATTAATGGCTTTCTTTGTATTGGATGTGCATGTTCATTACAGTATCTCTTTTACAATATTTTCTCTACAAAGATACAGGGAAGAGGAAAGGGAACTTAAAAAATATAAGTGACAACAGAAGGGAAAAAGAAGTGCAGAGAAAATTGAGAGAGGATGAAAGGCTAGAATGTGATATATAATATGTGAATAAATGGATATGCTCCAGCTAGGTGAACAGATAGACCTGTTGGGTGATGTATTTAATGAAAATTAAAGTTCATTTCCTATCCAAGGTCTTTCTCTTCATAGAGTTTCATTAAGTGTTCCATTCATTGAAAGCATTCCAGCACAGACGCACAAGGCCTAGGTTTTTACAGCCTTAAATATAGTTACTTACAATTACAGGCCTAACACAATGTGCAGAAAGTTAGTAAGCCGTACAGTAAGAACAGCTATGTACTTCATGACTGATGGCCAGTCCACATTCATAAATTTCTCCATTGCTTCTTGAATAAATTACTGTTTGAACATCTGCTTCTTCTGAGTCATTGTTTGCTCCACTTGGAGCACTTTGATGCTTCAGCACAGTCCACCTGCAGTAAGTGCTGTAAGGAACACCTTGTTCTTGTGGTGTCTGTTCCCCAGTGTTTCAGCACCAGCTGCCTGTAATTCAGCAATGACTTTATTCTGGCCCAAAATACATGCTAGTGTAGCAAATGCTTGTTTTTGTTGCTAACATTTGTTGCTCAGACAGATCCACGAGTGGACCGGTTGGGAATATAGTATTGCATGATGTCTTCTGTAGGTCTCCAGCGTGTTCTTTGCATGAAAATAACAAAAAACTTTGTCTTTTATTCCTCAGGTGGCTGGGATGTCTCATTCTGTGCTGCATGGTGGTCCTGATTCTGGTCTTTTACTATCTTGGATTGCTATGCGGCACCTGTGGTTATGATAAACATGCTTCTCCAACAACCAGAGGCTGTATCTCCAACACCGGAGGAAACTTTCTTATGGCGTAAGTTGCACTTAAAGGGGAAAAATGAACTAAGTGTGCCTGTAGAAAGTTGGTTTGGTTGACTTTGGAGGACATAAGAAAGGAGGAAAAAGAATCTGTTTTATTACCTATGTATATCTGCTGAGAAAAAATAGAAATAAATATTGATCTCAGATACTTGAGAGACTGGGGGATTTTGTGTTGCTCTTTCATTGAGGATCATAGCTGAAGGATAAAACCTCTGAATCTGCTGTTCTAAGGCGAGTGTTTTAGCTAACGAATTTCTGTGTAAGCCCCTTTGGAAACTGCAAAAACTGGGAATAGATAACTGAAAATAAAAGGGGAAAGTCATGGCTTTTTAGTACACTTGAGCATTTGCTCAAATTAAAAAGCCATGCAAGGAGGCTAGAAACATGTGATTTTCTCAGAGCATTTCAGAAGATTTTGGGTTGAAAAGTGCCTAGTAGTGGATTAATGTTGTTTCTGCTGGGTGCAGGAGAAGATTGCACTTGAAACCTTTCTAAAACTTCCTGAGACCACAAGGCTAGAGAGTTGAATTTAAAAAAGGAAACTGTATGGTTTTGTGGCTCTTAAATGTAATTCTTAAAAAAGTTTGCAAGCCCAATGCAAATGTCAGCATTTTAGATGCCTTTTACCTGAAGACTTTACAGTGCTGAAACATATAAGATGTTTCAGAGGGCAAGAACGTATTTGGAAAACAGAAGTATTTCAACTGTCTATCAGTTTTCATATCTCTGTTATAAGTCCTAACTGTTGGCCTCACTGTTGCCCCCAGTGTATATACATATACATATATATTTATATATAAAATGTTCTTAAAAAGGAAAAACTTATTCAACTTATTTCTCTTTCAGCGGAGTTGGATTCAGTTTTCTGTTCTCATGGGTGCTGATGACTGTAGTGGTGCTCACTTTTGTCACAGGTGGAAATGTAGAAAAACTGGTCTGTGAGCCCTTTGAAGATAAAAATTTATTCAAGGTGAAGTTATTCATGTTATTAAAAATTATTAGAATCCCAGTGAGTCCCAATGGTCTTGTCAGCTGTGTTTGGCATATTATTTTTTATAGGACACTTTGAGTTTGGGCCTGGTTTTGCTTTCTTCTTACACACCAAATAGAAACATTCATCCTTTCTTGGTTTAATTTGCTTTGCAGTGTAAGTACTGCATGCCTGTCTTCCTTCGGAGACAGTTTTTTCTGATTCAGCTTTCCTCAGTGATGGGGAGCTTTAATATTCAGTTTCTGCACCAAAGAGTTTGAATTTGCTGTTATACTTGTATCTTCATTAGTGGGTGATAAGCTTAGATGTGGGTATGTGTCAGAAGGCCACATATGAACAGGTACATGAAGAAACTTGGAATTATAGTAACGTTATTACTGAATTTTGTCTTCTAGGTTTTGGATACACCTTACTTACTAAATCAGCACTGGAAGAACTATCTTGCTGGCATCCTCTTTAAAAATCCAAATGTTAACTTGACTTTTGAAAAAGTGTACAGGTATTAAAGTTATGATTAAGATTTAATTCAGTTCATATTTAATTCACTTTTGGTTCATTTATTTTATACATACTGAGTTTGTGGTGTCTTCGATGCTTCGTTTTCCAGGCACATCCGGAAATCGCACATGTTCCAGAAGACATTCTGATTTTCTAGTGAATCACTAGCAAAAGCAATTTTCTCCTATATATGAGTTATTAGAGGTAGTCTTAGCATAATATTGTATGGTGATACTGGTCAGACTCTTTGATAAAATATTTTGCGTCTTCGAGACAACTGCTAATTACTTTTCTTACAGACTGAGCTTCAAAAAATTCAACCAGTATTTTTTTCTAAAGAACTATTTTTTTTAGAATAAGAATAAATCATTAATCATTCTCTTAATACTTGGTCCTCCAGGTGCTTTTTAGGCTGATCTGTGTATTTGTGTTTTTGTAGTGATTGCAAGGAAAACAAAGGAATTTATACTTCCCTTCACCTGGAATACCTGTTCAATATCAATGAGTTTCTAAATGTTAGTATGGTAAGTAAAGAAACTATGAATGAGTGCATGATTGTTTCTGAAGGACGTTTGCTCTCAAAACATCACACAGTATGTCTTGGTTTTATGAGATTTTTTTTGTTATACACACAACATCCTTCAAGGAATTAAGAACTGTCCAGACTAATTTGAAAAAAAGAAGTCTAGTTACAAATAAGATGTTCTTTACCAGTCTTAGTGGTCCATGTAAGATTTTCTAATGTGCTTTTTTTATGGGTGCTGATAATAATGTTGAGTTTAACTTTGAAGCTTACATGGAAGCAAAGTTGAAGTCTAGTGTCTTCCAAAGGCTGCTTGGGATGTTTAATGACAGTCGTCTTTTTATATAAATGCCTTTCTTGGTGCATTCTCTTCTGATTCTGGTCAGAGTTGTGTTATCTAGGATCTGATACACTGTGGTCTTAAGAATGGTTGGTTTTGGGTGGAGGGGGTTGGGATTAAATAGTCTTTTCAGTTAAGCTCTAATAATCCATGTCTGCACTGTCATTACATGACTGTACTAATTTTGGGGTTGCCTGTAGTACCTGTCTTCATTACAGCAACCCCTCGAGGATATGTGTTCTGTGCTGCCAGGCACTGCACCCACACTTGATAGACAGAGTCCCTGTCCCAAATAATATTCTTAAGGATAACATTTCCTGGAGGGATGTTAGTCCCGCTCTTAGGAGGGACTAGCATTTATTCAGAGAAGCCTGCTTAAAACAGAATGGAAGGGAAGTAATTCATTGATATGGAAGATGCATGGGTAGATGCCAGTATCCTGGCACGACTGGATACTGTGGATACTGCAGGGAAGGGAAGAACGTTACCACCACCATTACCTGGTGGAATCTGTTAAAGTTAATTAAATTAAACTGATGTAAGCAAAAATAGGAGTGTGCTTTTCTGTGGAAATGAGTCATTACCAAAAGCAAGATGCTTTGGGCAGGGGCTGTAGCAGAACATGTGCTGGTTGCAAACTACTTTTATGCTTTCTTTTGTTTCCCTCTCAGTATACAGAAGATGTAGCACTTAAAATTGAACATATTCAGATAAACCTCAGCAAAATCATTCTGCTGGATGAAATTGGGAAGGAGAATCTTCTGAATTTCAGCTCTTCGGGAATAGATGGGATAGACTTTTCAGCATATTTGACAGAGGTGAGACTAGAGGCATCAACTAGAGGCATGAGTGGGACAAAGTATAAAATGAAATGTTTCTTAAACAATGGGCAAAACAAAACAATCTGCTTTTGTGTGAAAGGCCATGTTTTGAAACATAATAAAAGTTGGGGAAAAAAGAACTTCAGAAGTTAAGGTCAATAAATATTTAAAGAAATAAAGAGTAGACAGAGTAGGTAGTATAGTTAAGTACAAAAATGCAATAACAACACACTCTATTTCTTACTGTTCACATCTTGTTTCAGATCAATAAAAGTGTTACCAAGGTTGATCTTCTCTCCTTTGCTAATGACTTAGAAGCAAGAGCAGACCAGCTGGTGAGTTTAATTCAGTAATAAAATAATACATAAAATGTGTCATTTATATACAATACAAATACAAATATATGGCAAAGTAGACTTTCTGTGGGATAATTCTTGTACTTCAGACACTTACATACATTGTGCATTGTCATGTAAGGAAAAACTTTCTAGAACAGTGCTTCCTATGAACTATATTTTAAATGTTGCTAATTACTGATTTTTGTATGCTGTTGTACAGTTTCTGCTTTGGAAGTGTATTTTCTTAAATTACACTGTTTGCTGGAGAAATGAGGGGAATACTCCATTTCAGTATTTCCTGCTATGCTCTCTACATTTTCAGGTCCCAGTTGGAAGAAAAATTGGTTAGATCGTGATGGAAAAGATGAATTTGAATTAATTTTCTTTCAGTTAGTGAGCAGAAGACTTTGCAATTAGTGATAATATTTATACTGTGACAGCTCATAAGAGCTCTAGTGATAACTGGGGCTCCATTGTGGAGGGAGGATGCACAAAAGAAGCTCTGTCTGCTCTGAAGGGGTTTTTGAAAGTAGACACATGGAGAATGGTCAGAGGGTACTGCTACAACATTTCCCACAAGTGAATCAATCTGCAAGTGGCACAGATCCATGTTAATGGATAGTGACTGTTCAGTTGATATGTTTGTATGCATGTCAAAGTCACTTTATACTCATTTTTCAAAATGAGAGTCATGGTTTGAACACTGGCCCGAGACAGATTCCTGCATTGCAATGCAGGAGGAAGAGTTACTGCACACACAGTTGGATCACTAAGGGGCACAGCAGAGGGAGACCACATTGTTTGGAATTTATCAGATATCCATCCATCCTTCCTCCAGGGAGAGGAGGGCACTGGTGGAAGCCCCTGCTGCGTTTACATCAGCTTTTTGCATAATTTGCGCACACCTGTTGTTGGGTTTGGGGGTTTTTTTGGTTGGTTGGGTTTTTGTTCTGTTTCACATGCACTCATGTCAAGGTCAGACTGTTCCTGGAGTTTTCTTGCACTGTAGTTAGTAACTTCTCCAAGCACCATGGGTGAACTGCACATTGCCTGCTTACCTGTGCAGGTTGCCTGCTAACTTGGGCAAGTATCAGTATCTTTGGCCACACTTTACTTCAGTTTCCAGTTTTTACTGTGCCATTTTGAAGGTTATACAGGTGATGTGGTATTGTTGTTGATTTGGGGCTATTTTACAAGTGAAAGTTGGGGTTCTTCAAACATGTTAACATAGAGTTGCCCCTGGGGTATATTTGCATAGTTTCATGAAGGAAAATATATTGTCCTAGTAGGTTGTTTTCATTATTTTTTATAGTAGTAGAATGTTGAGGAAGCAATAGAATTGAGAATGGATCAGACAGAGTAATTTCTTCATATAAGAGACATATAAATTCAGTAGTAAATGTGTTCACTATTACAGTTTTTTTATTTCTTCCTTGTGATGCTTTTTAGCGTAATCTATGAAATGTCTGAAAAAAACCCCAAACCAACCCAAAACCACAACAATACAATGTATTGCAGACATTTGATTGTTAAAAAATGGTACTGGTTTCCAAGGATATTTTATAATTCCACTTTGTTATTAGTGATAGACCTTAGAACAATCAGTTAAAAAATAATCTAAAAACTATTGGAATTCATTAACCTCAGGTGTATAGTTTGCACTTTTTGACACCTTAGGCAAAACTGAACGTATGTTTTTACAGTGGAAAAAAAACTTGCATCAAACCAGAGGGGTCAGGATATGGAGGAGGGAGCAATACCACAACAGGTGTTATTAGGTGAATGAATTCACCTTGTCAGTAAGGAGATGAAATATCCTGAAGCTCAGTTGCCATAGCTGACTGCTTACGTGAATACTTCCCAGGAAAAGAAGTATTCTCTGAGCATTGAGGTCTGCCATTATTACACTTCCAAAATGGAGTTAACAGTGTGTATTCAGTGTATATGCAGGGAGCCAAGCGGTTTTGCCACCAAAAGAAAACAGAAAGTAAATTTATTTCTGGGAGTAAAATGAAATTTTTAGGATTTTGCAACGAGCATGAGCTCCAGACAGGCATTTGGACTCGAAAATCAGGGCACAAACTCAAATCTTCTGACTGAAAGGCGGGAGCCACAGAAATGGAAAATACCCTTCACAGGCAGCTTTCCAAGTTGCTGGCTGAAAATACCTAAATTTCTGTGCCTCTCAGAAAGCAGAGGGTGCCCCAGGGTGATGTCCACATTGCCAAAACAAAAGCAAGTACCCATGACTGAGAGATGCTCGTCCCAGCTGGGGTGCAGTGCTGCAGGGTTCTTGCAACGAGGTCTGGCTTGTGGCGACTGCGAGGGGGGTGTGCTCACTCTTCTGTGTTCAAAATTACTTAGTGCACCATGTGAAAATTCCCTTCAGTTAAATCTGTGCTGATAATGTTGTAGCCAGAAAAGCAAGGTGATATATCTGGTTTGGTTGCTGAAGCTTGAATTATTAATACGGTGATTATTTTCCGCTCCTTGTGTTGAGGAATTCAGTTTGCCATATTTAGCATCAGCTGTTCTGGAGCGGATGACTATAAAGTGCAACTTTCATTGTTTTTTGCTTTGTTGGAAAGCTTTGAGATTACTGAACAATACTGCATAATTGCATTTTTTGCAGCCAAAGGGAGCACTGGAAAATGCCTTAAAAGGACACGCAAACAGCATTCGGATGATTCATAACCAGCAAGTCGTTCCACTGGAGCAAGCTATGGTAAAAACATTAAAGTAATATTGAAACATATTTGTAGAAAATACGAATCTCTAAAACTCTTAAATAGAGATTAGAAAGCTGGACTTGCATTAGCACATATTGTCAATGAAGAGTAATCTGGGTGAAGTATGTGATTAAAAAATAGTTTTCCTACTTATAATACTGCTGTTTTATAATACTGTCTAAAATCATGATCTTTTTCTTCACTGTTTTTTTCTGTAGCCACTTGTGATTATATATGAATAAAAGAGGAAGCAGGGGAGAACTTTACGAAACTCTAACCCATAATCATTTTCTTTTTTGCTTGCCATTTGTCTTCAGTAATAAAAAGCAGTTACCACTTTCACACTTTCTTTATTGGAGTTAGCAGTCACCTAATGGAATTGGAAACACTCGAGAGTAGTATTTAGAGCCAAAGTGGTTTTTTATTTGATGCTATGGAAGATGTGAAAGGGCTGCTTCTGCCTGATTTTGCCAGATGTGGATTTGTATAGTATCAAGCTGTGAATCTCCAACATGCTCAGTGTTGCTTTTTCCTCTACATAACATGAAGACCTTTAATTTATCCTGGCTTCTGATAAAGTATTTCTGCCCCTATCAAAGCCAGCTTATAGAAAAAGCATTAGGTCTTCCGGTCCACTCTGATTCTATGCTGTTCTTTCCTAATTAACTCCTAATTATTTTCATCTCTTTTTTCTTTTACAAAAACTGACTGTCAAGAAATATGTTAAAGCTAGGGTAAGTGCTTTTTCCCTTCAGAAACTGCACAGTATAGAATTCTCTGAACACTTGGTTCTGATTTTAACTGTTCCGTCTTCCCTCCAGCTAAATCTTAATGAATTTATTGGATCTAGCTTAAGTTAAATCAGTGCTGTTGGTGAACTGATTAAACCCACAATGTATTAATTTTAATGCAGTTGTTACTGTTATACATAGTGTGATACTTATTATTAATAACAAAATAATCTATAGAAGATCAAAGTATGAATATAATGTTAAAACAGGTGTGCTCATACCTGTAGTAATGACTTGAAGCTTTTTTCCTCCCCTCTTTTCCAATAGAGCACTTTAAACCAGAGCATTAGGTTACTGAAGAGAACATCATCTGAACTTATGGTAAGCTGCTCTTTTGGCAATAGGAACATTTTTGTGTTTTAAATCCTTTCACCACATATGCAGGGCATATATTTTCAATACAGTTTTCTTCTATTTACAGCTGTTCTGTTATTGAGAGAGATTGTAATGCATTGAGGTAGTAACAAGGAGTTAAATACCTCTTCTGCACAAAAAGGGGAAAAAAAAGAAGGGTTGAGATGTTTTTTTGGAGTATGAATTGTAAACTGAGTTGTCACATGATAAAATAGGCTTCAGTACAGTTCTGTATAGTGTGCTTACTGATTTTCCTCAAAATGTAGGTTTGTTTTTTTTCTAGAATCCTTTAGTGCAAAATTTGGGGGGGAACAACCAAGAAACAAAACGCAAAAGTACAGCTGACAAGAGAGTGCTTTGTGATTCACATCCTTAACCACCTCTTGTTCCATGTTCAGCTCCCACTGGGCTCTGTTTCATTAGACTGTACTTGTTAACTCCCTGCTCCTACAGCATCATCCTCACTATGGGAACCTGGATCTGTTTTGAGGCTTCCCCAGGGCAGCCCAGGTTTCCTCTCTAGGTAGCAACTGCTGCCTGCATTACAGTGAGACCAGCTGGCTCCATAGTCTACCAGAGAGTGAGGCCAGCAGGACAGTTACTTTTCTGTCAGCAAAGCTTTCTGTTGCCACCAGCCTGCCTTGGCTCTGGTAGCAAGAATCTAGACACACTGACATGGTCAGAGTCACAACAGCTTCGTGGGTCATACCTACCTCAGTGCTTCCCACTGCAGTTTTCACCCATCCACAGCAGCAGACCAGCTAGGTGTCTTTTAGAGTCTGTGATTTGAGTCTGGGTGGGGAGGTAAGAAACTGTAAAATGAAGTGTTGCTAAGAAAGGGATCATGTTTGACGTCTCTGCATTTTCAGGCTCTGTGTACACTGTTCTTTTTGTGTGTTCTTTGAAAGACTTTATGGGGTTCTACATATATTGAAAAAGCATCTCAATCCTTTAGGTTATTGATTAGGGGCATATTCTGGCTGTACAGAATCCTACGTTAGTCATCAAGAGTTGCTGTAATACTATATAGCCCAGTGTTTTCTTCCCGTGCACCATGTGTGTCTGTAGTGCTTATGCAGGCATTGATGTAACTATTTCTACACTTAAAGGAAAGAAAGAGTGGAAGATAAAACAGATCCTAGTATATAAATTAGTTATGTAATTTACAGAAAGAGATACTGGCCTTAACCACTGATACAAACCTTTTTTAGCAGTGAGAGAATTTTGTCAGATGATCATTAATCCTTAGGCAGGCTCATGTTCTGTCTAGAATTGCAGGTTTTGTCAGGTTTTGACAAGACAGTGATGCTGGTTTATCAAGAGAACAGGTGCTGACAATGGCTGCAGAGCCATAGCAACAGCCTGAAAGGGATTTATTTATATTAAACACCATCTCTTCCTCTCCAGGTTAAGGTGAAAAATGTCATTAGTGCTGTTAATACTGCCCAGTTTCTCATAAATAACAACGCTTCTCAAGTTATTGTCCAGGTAAGCTTTATTTGATCAAAATATGTTAATTTGATGTCATGGAGGTAGAGGTTAACTTGCTTTTCTTCTCTTTTTTCTGGCTCTAGGAGACAAAAAAGTACATGGATACCATAGTTGGCTACTTTGAGCAATACACTGAGTGGGTCAAGGAGTCGGTAAGGTGCATTTACTTAATTGAGAGAAGCTGTGTTTAAAAAAAAATACATAATAAAGCTAAATATAATAATAATACCGAAATGTTACTATGATAGTATGTTTTATAGTTTCAGTTTTTACTACATTTGTATTTAGTATCAGTGAGAAAGTTGGTCTCCTGTAGTTTTGTTGGGTTTGCAGAATAGAAATGAGGAGCTGTGTTGGTTGGAATGCAGTGCAAATTTAATAATATTGATTTCAAGGCTAGCCTGAAGTCTACCATTTTTGGCAATACTGCACTGAGCCTGACCTGCATAGTTCAAATTGATGTCATTAGCATCTCATTTTAAATTTCTCTCTTCAGCTTCAGGCTTTGAGAAAGTAAGCTGATGTTTAAAAGAAATTCAGTTGATAGCATATCCCACTGGTATTTATTTTGAATTTGGGTAGGGTGAGACATAACAATTTAGTAAAATATAACTGTAAGCAAGTTTAGAGATTCTTATTTTATTCTGTTAGATACTCCCAACTATATTTTTTTTTAAATCTTGCTTTCAGATTGCCATGGAAGTAGCAGCATGCAAGCCTATTGCCAATGTGATAGATACAGCAGTAGATATTTTTTTATGCAGCTATATAACTGATTCTGTGGTAAGAAACATTTTATGTTACTCAGAATTGGGGTATCAAGTGGGAAATTCTTTCAGTGTACATCTGCATTTAACTATTCCAGCGAGACTATTCTGAAGTAAAATAATAAAGTATCACAATCAAAGTTATGTAAGGAAAATGTTCTTATCTGGATCAAGTCCAAAGACGAACCAGTGCTGGACTTGTTTTAGATTTTCATTAAACTTCAGCTTGTATTAGCAAGAATTCTTTAAAATCAACTGATTTTGAACCACCTTGAAATGGAAAAGCAGAAAGGTGTGAAATTTCATCTGTAATTATTTCTAACTTATGGGGGTGGAGTAGGGGCAGGAAGTGAGTGAAAAATACCAAGGAAAACTTTCTCAAGTATCTTTCCTGGAATCTAGAAAACCTGAATGAGATTTTATCACTTGACTTGTAGCAGACAGATCTTTAGATTAGTTTCTGTATGTTGGGGACTTGGAGCATGACTTGTAGCAGTATATAAAGGCAATATTGGCTTTTTCATCTTGCCAAGAGAGCTTGGAAAGAGGGCAGCACGTATTTAAAGTAAAGCAAGCAACCATGGGCCTGGAAAGTACCTGAAATGTCTCCTAGCTGTTACTTAGCTTTATGGCACTTCTAGCTAGGTCCTAATCGTAACCAGCAGTAAATACCTGCAATCTGTCAAAGGCAAAGCATTCTAACCTTGATAATGCTTAACCAAGAAATGTTTAATCTTGGTAATGCTTAACTATGAGACCCCCCCAACCTGCTGGGAATCATGTTGTACTCATTGATTAGTTCATACATTACAGAGCTTCTGTTCTCCTTTGTGGAGCCATTAACCATCTGGTAAGAGATGACCCGTGATTTTCCTCATGATAGAACTTAGCTGAGTCACTTGGAAGTCAAAATGCCTCTGGCCAATACAAATCAAATTTGAAAAATCATTATTTTAACATCAGGTGATAACTCAGTTCAACTGTATGATAATGAAATTAGTTACACAAACAGGGCTGCAATTAGCAAGTTATCAAGTATCTTGAGAAAGTGCTGTGAACTCATATTTTGACAAGAATTGCAAGAAAGGTGATTTAAAATATCAAGGAAAAAACCCAATGTGGCTAGTAAATTAATAGTGAGATGGAAAATTACTTTCTAGCCCACAGCTGAATACATTGAAATAACTTCTTAGGCCACTATGGCCTAAGTAGCTTTGAGCAACTTTGGCCGTATTCCTGTTTGGTTACATTTGTAAGACTGGTGATGTTGTTAGGTTGGCTCACACTGACAGTGGAGGATGCTTTTGTACCTTGTTCCACACTGGTATAAAGGAGCTCAGACAGACCATCAAACTGGTGCCACTAATTTCTGCTGTGTTCTTCTGGGAGCAGTGGTTCAAACATCAAGCAGAGGTTCATTACTTCTGATTGATTTTCTCCATGATCTTTTTTTTTCCTTGATTTTGATTTTTTTCAGAATACCTTCTGGTTTGGTTTGGGAGGCTCTTCAATGTTTTTAATTCCTGCCATAATATTTGCTGTAAAACTCTCTAAATACTATCGTAGAATGGATACAGAGGATGTGTATGATGAGTAAGTATATACTCCTGAATAAACTAAATGTCAAATGGATTAAATTGGTTTTTTCTAGTGTGAAGGCTCTATAATCCTTAAACCTACACTGACAGAGCAGAACCATGTGTTCTTGGGAAATGCTGTTGGTTTGGGTCAGTGCCTGCAAAGTGCTTCATGCAGGTGGCCTTTGGGGGCCATGACTCTGCAGATAGTGCTGGCTCTGACCTTGAGACACTTGTTTCAGAATGAGGTCTTCAGGGCTTCATGAGCAATGTCTATATAAATAAGTTCCAAATGTGCAAGTTATTACCTCTGCTAAGTAATCTGTTAAGGTGAATTATGCCTGATTTGTAATCTCCTTGAATTAATGATTTGCTTTCTTGCTGTCTTAGTTATTCCTAACCAGTCTTTCCTTTTTCAATTGCAGTTCCTCTGTCTCAGGGACTTGGCATTTTACTTTATGATAACTATTCTTACGTATTTTCCCATCAATTTTGTTTTTATTGTTTTCTTTTCTGCTCTTTGTTTTGCTCATTGTTCATTTAGCCTGTGCACTGCATTTCTCACATTTCACACTGGTCGTGTTTCATCACACATTTACAAGTCAGTAGAGCAGAAACAGCCATGTACAGCTAAAATTACTCTCTTATTAGTGTCTAGTTAATTACTCCTCCTTTTCTCTGTTTTTTTAGTGTCGAAACTATACCCATGAAAATGTAAGACATTTTTTGCTGATATTTGCTAAAATTATTTTATTAATGTGGGAGGGTTTATATTTTTGATGTAACTTGTTACTTCAAAAGAGGTAACGTGTTCTGTTTCACCAGACTTTATAGATTATATTAGAGTATCCAACTCAACAAGAATAGAAAAATAATTGATTTTTTTGAGAATATAAAAATATTTAAAAATGTAAAATTATAATTATGCCATAACTCCTAAAAGTTACAGAGCAAAAATTATATTCTATTGTACAGACACAGTTTATCTTTGCATATCATACCATCATCCATGTACATGTCTTAGAAGCCATACTGTACATAGTGCATCTTATAGTTAACATGGTCTTTCTTGGTGTATTTATTTTATTACAGTACAGAAAATGGTAATAATGGTTATCATAAAGAGCATTTATATGGTATACACAATCCTGTTTTTACAAGGTAAACCAAGTCTGAAACTGCATGCCTTCATATGTCCTTACTTAAGCTACTCTTTTAATCATCTGTTCAATTTTCTGCATGCTTTAAAGTGAATCATTTAATTTTCTGTTTGGGTTTTTTTGCATGATTATTCAGTATAACAATACTGTATGATTTATATTTCTCAAATATTCTTTATATAACAGCAGACAGTGTAGTAATTTCCTGCAGCTTAACAAAGGAATTGCCTGTATTTGATCTTGAAATCCATGTAATTAGGTATTTAGCTAGCACAGTGGGTAGTCCTAAATTGACAAACGTATTAAAATACTCTGATAGCAGTTGAATGTGATAGGATGGGATGCGTTTGTACTCTTGAGTAGTTTTATTTTTTAAACGGTGAGAAGGGCTTTTCCAGTGCAGAATGCAGGTGATCCAGGTATGCAGAAAGCGTGAACATAGAAAATGGGTGTTTCTACATGGGTGGGCTAGAATGTAACATCACAGAAAAAGAAGTTCAAGTTATGTGTAAAATGAGGATATTTGAGTTCTTTTCTGCCTCTACAACAACTGTGCTGTAAAACTTCAGCTAGTTGTGAGAATTTCAGTTTCCATAGAAATAACATAAGATGTCCCACAACTTCAGTATTTGGCTGTGCAAAGTTTGCAAGTTGCTTAAGGAAGGATCAGATTTGTGGTTGAAATCTGTAGCTCACTGTGCTTTGACTTGCAACTTCATGACTGAAAGTATAGGTTTAGTATTTGCAGAGAAAATATGACCACTCTTTAGGTAACAGGTAAATACCAAGAGAGCTCAAAGTTTGGTCTTGCCGGATTTTATGGCTGCATCTGATGATGATGATGATCATAATTAGTAGTAGTATTTAAAACTGTATTTTACAATAATTATCTACTGATCAGATCTTGATTTCACATCTCCTTCTGAAGGAGTTTTTAGCGATATTTATGGTCATAAAAATGTGGTCTGTTCTGCAACTGAAGGGTACTTACTCTCTAAATTAACTGACAAGGTGTTCGATTCCAAAGTATTCTCCACTGTCATATCTGTTTTTAAGAACTTTCAGTACTGTACATAAGAGGAAACTAATAATTACTCAGTCCTTAGAAAGTCCCTTTCTGCTCTCTGAATCTTTAGTGTGGATATTAATATTCTTGAGGTTCATATCGTGTTTTATTGTGATATTTCAGTCCTTGGTGAATAGTTTAATTCAGTGTTCCTGAGTAACCTAGAAATTACTAGCATAAAATAATGTTTTACACAAAGATCAACTAGTCCAGTCCTGACTTTTCCTAAATTCTGAGTTGTTTAAAATGGGCTTCCATAAGAAAATTTAAACATTCAGTTTGAAGTAGTGCTGTCTTCTGATCTGCTGAGATAATTTGAAAAACTGCTAATTATGGCATACATGCTTTGAATTTCTCCGTATGGGATTCCCATATGAATAAAGTCTTGGTTTTAATTTTCATTTCAGCATAGTCTTCGCTTTTATCCTTGATTTTTTTTCATTTCCTACAAATTATTTTTGGAGATACTTTGACAGATATGACTTCGAATAGATCTCTGTACACCTATACTTTTGCAGGTTTAAAGAATCCCATAGGGTTGGGATTTTTTTTGGCCTCCAAAATCAGGTGGGTTATTTTGCTGGAAAGAGAGGCAAATATTTTTATAACACTAAGATATGTAAGTACAAGTGAGAGCTATATATGAAGTGTAAGTGTCTCACACAGGTGTTTTCATATACATGTCAAAGATACAAATAACCTCAAATGCAGCCACCATTTTTGTGAGAGCAAAATAGGAGTCTGGATTAAATTTGCAAAGGAATGGTGTTGAATAGGCAATCCAGGCATTTCTTTCTATCATGAAACAAAGATAACCAGAAAGGCTGGTGGAGAGAACCATCAGTCTGTTTCCTCTTGTTTGAAAAATGCTTGACTGAATGGGTAGAAGATTGAGAAGAGTCTATGCCAACTTATCTTGTCTCACCTTAGTTAGACAGAGTATTTCTGTTCCATTTGTGGGCAAAAGAAAATGATGGGTTTGGTTTCTGTTTTTTTTTTTTCCTTGTGTAGCTCTGTGGAACAGTGGTAACACATACTGGAAACATTAAGGGGTAAGTAATAAGCTTTTAAAGTAAATTCTACATTTATTACTGCTTTACTATTTTTAAGAAGGCTGCTCTGATTTCTGTAACTCTCTAAGGTGCTCTAAGGTTTAAAAATAAAAAAAATATTCAACTGTATTAGGGTTCATATGAAATTCTGAATTTCATTCTAGTTAAATGACATTAAAATTCTGTCTTTATCAATTTTTTATCAGATTTTCCTGAATTGTTTTTGTTATTATTTCCAGGCTATGTAAATGAGGCTCGAGATTCTTCTATGGGAGCATATCATTATTCTTCCAAGTGTGTTGGCATTTCCATTCATCTGACGAATCCTGAGCCACTTGTTTTATGTCAGCTGTACTGTAAATCCCAAATGTACTATTGAATGTTATGCCATAAACTACTGTACAGAATATTTTGAGATCAGGGCACTGCCTCTCAAATACCACTGTTCAAGGCTTGAATTAAAACGTTTTTTGTTTTTTACTTTTTTACACTGGGCTTTGTACCTTACATCACAGTCTATAAATTAATTAGATTAACAGCCTTTGCCTAGGAATTCTCTGACAGTTGTTCAAGTTCTTAAATTGTTGATTTGTGTTAAATACAGTACATACACGTTTACATAAAAATACATTTTGTATACAGAGACTTTTGTATATACATTTTTCTTAAAACTTCTAAGTGTTGAGTTAAGATTTTAATATTGTATAATACTCTACACAGATGAATTTACCAGCATGATCAGTGTTGCTATTTGGTGCTCTTGAATGACCACATTGGACTAAATTTGAATTTTAATGGTTGGGTTCCACTGTGTCTCTTTGTGCATCTGAAAAGTTCAGTTGTAGTTTTGTTTTCTTCCTCCTTTTTTTTTTTTTTTTTTTTTTTTTTTTTTTTTTTTTTTTTTTTTTTTTTTTTTTTTTTTTTTTTTTTTTTTTTTTTTTTTTTTTTTTTTTTTTTTTTTTTTTTTTTTAATTATTTAATATTTAGTGGGTTTTGCTGTATAGACCTAAAAGGGACTTTTTGGAGAAGTTTGTTTTTAAACTTTGGGAGGGAGGGTTGGGAATGTGCGGGTTGCATAATATAGTGAAAAAGCTAAGCTTTCTAGAGTCCAGTAGTACTCAAAAAGAGCATGAGGGATGTCCTATGTTGGCAGTTTTTAGAATGCTTTACATTCTCTGTCTTCCCTTTCCTCTTTGACACTCACTTCTGTAACATCCTTAATAGTATCACTGTGGCTCTTTCGGGGGCAGTGATACTATTCTTGCTAAATAATCTTAAACTGTGATTTCAAATGTTAAAATTCAAATATGTTTAGCAATGGCGTTAACGTTTGTGTTACTAAGAGTTATTGCCTTGAATTTAGGCAAACAGTCGCATTGCTGAATTAGTTAACAACAGAATTCATCGAAAGGCCAAATGTATGTTACCAGTCAAAAATGTTTTGGCAGGTGAAGTGGTTGGATATATTGATCTAAAATAATCTCTTCATATATCAGTATTGTCAACTTCGTTTCCAGCAAGGTTCATTGTGTTGAAGTAGGGATAATTCTCTAAGTCATTATTATAATTTTGAAGAAATGCTTGAAAAGTGATATGAGTCTTTAATCCGGAATAACCTTAAATTTTTAATTTTTACATCATAAATGGAAACATTTCTAATTGACAGTATGTAGCATATGTGTATATGTAATGTTCAGAACTGCAGATTTTTAAAAGTTTCTATTTTTAATTTGAGAAAATGTTCCCAGTTCATTTAAATAAAAAAGAACTTGCTTAACTACCTGATGTTTGATTCTCACTGTTTTGTTGTGTAGACGTGTCTCAGAAGAGTTGCACTGAGTTAAAATCTTAGTAAAATTAATTTCTTTACCCTGGGTAAAAATTTCTGCTGTATTTGGCTTTTATTTTTGGAGCAGGATGGACTGAAAGAACATTGACTCTGGGTGAGGGAGCATCCAACTTCCACAAATTCACTGTGTGAATTATGCAAAGATGGTGGGATTCAAGCTAATGAATTGTGGAGTGTATCCATATAACCTGTTTCTGGAGCCCTGACAGCAGAATTAAACATTTGCTAGTTCTTCAGCTCCCACAGTTCACTGCTGGCATTCTAGCTTACCTTGTAAAAGGACAATTGTTTTCTGCTGATACAAGAGACCATGAGCTGTTTCATCTGAAGCACGGACAGGCAGATGACACAAAAATCAGATGGGAGTGAGACAAACACTTGGCAGTAACCTAATAGCTGTAATATGTAAATATACTGGAATCCAAGCTTTGGTATTTATCCTTATCCTTGTAATTTATTTGTTTTCATGATTAAACTTGAAAAGTTTGAGAGCAAGAGATCTGAAACTGGTATAAAGTAACGAGAGAGACAGATGTCTTTAGTTTCTAATCTAAGAACTGTCAGTGCTTGTGTGCATAACAAAGTGCAAACAATACAGTTGTTTGTCAAATATTATGAGGCGTTTGAGTGCTTGCAGGAGGGGTTTGAAATCCTTGAAATTGAGTGTGAGGTGGGCAAGGAGATTCTTCTCGCTGGCTGGCTGAAGGATGATAAGATACCCCGGAAAACAAGAGTGTAATTAGGTGGATTTGTACTGTTGTTCTCCTCAGACTTGGCTGGAGAGCCACACACCATGCCTTGAAAGAGACTGACAGGAGAAACTAATGGGAAGAATAGAGGGGAGGCCTCTACTAAAATAACCTTAGAGAAGGGATGAAAAGAAAACAAGGTTGTTCTCTCTATAATATGGTATTTAGTCATGGGGAACTTGATGACCCATTGACTGGAAGAACAAGGTTCGGGATACCCAGAAAGGCTGTTCCAGGTGGCTTCATCTTCAAGTGGGCAACTTCCAGATTCCCCCACAGCAGCTGGGACTCTTGTTCAACTGCCCCAAGAAGCTTCTGTTGTTGTTGTTCTGCTTTGACCTCTGTGTTAAATGAATGTTTTTGCCTTGGTATTTTCTTCAATGCTGCCTGGTGAGCGACTGTATGGCCAGTCTTAACCCCAGGGTTTCTAGCACCCCGCAGTTGCATACCTAAACAATACAATACTCCTTTCCAGAAGCTGGTCAGGTCAGGCTGGGTGCAGCATAGATGTCTTTGGAAGAAGTGCCTGGTGGGGGTCTAATTAGCCAGAAAAGAACTGTGTCTTACCACAGCGGGGGAGGGACTTTTCCTCATGACCTTCTGAATGCCAAGGGAGTTACAGTGATTTTTCCTCAGCTCTGCTTTTAGTTACTGCAGCAGAAACTTCTAGGACAGATTTCTGCACTAAAATATTTCTATCCTCTTGCTTTTATGTCATTTTTACAGCTCACTTTTTATGAACAGGAAAATACCTTTTTTTTTTAAGTAAAAAGTGATGAAGCACAAATATCTGTCTGACATGCTTTGTGGTCTGTTTCCTGCTGCTGTGACCCATGATAAGTTAGTTCTGATGTCTTGCTCTGTTGGCTGAAAGTAACTCACGGTGTGACAGTGAGGATAAAACTTCCAAATTTTTGGTGGATGATTAGACCTGTAATACCTTATTTTGCTCAAGCATTATTCCTTATCTTGTTTAAGTATTATAAATGTAAAAATCTTTCACGGGTCAAAGAATGTGCAGTTGATCCTTCCATGCGTCCTCACTGCATGTCATGTGCAGACAAAATGAAGTGCTAAAGTTGCATCCTTACTGTGCAAATCCACAGAAAACCCGCTGCACAAATCAGCCTTTTTTACAAGGACACATTTATAATCATCCAGATGTAGCTGCAGAGATTGCTTTGGCACTTTTATCTTTTTTTCTTTGATATGGTCTTACAAGCTCTGGCATGAAGATAACTATAAAGCAGCTGGAGAATGGAAAATATCTGTTAAAAATCAAATATGACATGTTCATCCTGAATAGGAATGTGCTTCTTAGTTATACAACTGTCATTCTGTATTTAACTGCATTTACAAGACTTGTCTTGTTACCTTCTTGGGAGTTCACACTCCCAAGGTTATTCGGCACTCCCTCAGGCTATAAATTACAGGCACATGCCTACTGAAGTGTGATTTCTTATTTTTATAAAAAAGCCCAACCCTTACATCCCATGTTTTGCTGGAAAGAGGCTTCTTTGTGCGCCAAGCCTTTAAACTGTGAACAACCAGTTACTTACTGCTTTCACATTTTTGGATTGTGTTGCTCAAGGATCTTGGTCAATTCCTCTCACCATGAAGAGTTTTACTCTTCTTTTTCTAGTTGTTATCTGTGGCACGGGAGGATTGGGGCAGAAGCTGAAGCCAAAGAAAAGAAGCAATGGTGAAGAAATCAAATTTCGGACTAAAACCAAGGACGTTTGTACAATGAGCATTAGTGGGGATGATGAGGAGATGAAACTTAGAGTTGAATGCAAAAACCAAGACATGTCCTACTGGTGTGAATTCACTGGCAAGCCTTCAGTCTGTCGTGCTTTCAGAAACAATCCAAAGATTTACTGGAATCAGATCGCCGCAGAACTTAGAAAGATCCCTCATGCTTGTGAATCCACGGAAGTGTTGAAGATCTCCATGTGCCAGAAGGCTCCTCCAGAGGCTCTCATGAAGCAAATAGCTGCTGGTGTGGAGCCAGAAGAGCTAGCAAACCAGGAAGAATCAGTCCAGAAAATGTCCACTTCTATGCGAGGAGCAGGGCAATGGTCTGAAAATGAAACAGAAGCCATGAAACTGGCACGGGAACATTGCTGGGAATCCCTGCATGATTTCTGCTCCTACATTATTGGCATCTTTAGGGGTTAAGGACTTACTTCAGGTAAAATTTGCATCTGGAAGCACAGTAGAATATACCCAGGAGTAATTCTATTGTATTTTGGTTTTAAATTTACTTTGGGGGTGTCTCAGGGATGTGAACAGGAAGGTTCTAGGCTCACTTGCTAAAATCTGACATTGCAAATCCTGTTTTGTGGCTTCTCAGAGGCTGGGCTAAACTTCCAGTGATGCCTTTTAGTTCAGGATTCCTTTACAGCCTCCTGTGAAGTTTTTAGTATGTACTCAGCTGTTTTCCCTATCTGTTGTTAGTCTCATGGTATTTCCATTCTAACTGTTTGAATTGGGCTAATTTTTCTCTGTCATTCCTTCCCTCTTGTGCTGCCTTCTGGATTTATGCCAGGGAAGTAAGATGCATCAGATCCAATAACAAATGCACCAGCTAGAACAAATTAAAACTACATTAAGAAACTGAGAAGATGAAGTTTATTAATCAAAACTGCTAGTTATAGTTATTAATCAACTATTTTAATTCCAACAGTTAGTTCAGAAACAAATTGCAGAAATGAGTAATACCAAATGGATGTGTTGGTTTGTGGGTCTGTTACTGTCGGGTTGACAGGGGATCTCGTGCAGGCACTTGCCTGGCAAGTCTCATGTTTTCAACCAGGATTTAAAAAGGCAAAGCCCTTCATTGCAGAACTGATTAGTTTTATACCCACTTCTGTTTTGGCTCAGAGAGAAAGCCAGGAGCTGGTGAGTGAACCTGGAAAACATTTGACAGAAATGGGAGTATATGCAGCATGAGCCAGCAAGTAATTAAGTTGCTAATGATAATTTATGCCTAATACAGCAAAGTGACTAATTTTTTTTCTTTTTTTGTTTTGCAGACCAAAATTGCTACAGCTGAAGAAGGGTCCTTGCTGTAGTTTAACAATTTAGACATAAGAATTTTGGTTTAAAAATGAGTTTTCTCTGTAAGTCTTATAGCTGTTTTCCTTTTGTGCCCCTAAAATAAAAATTTTTAACAGCCCTGAAAAGTGCATGAAACTGGAGTGACTGTGTTTAAAGTGTTAGGATGAACTAATTGTCCCTAGGCTTGTTACACACTTAGGTGTGCATTTAAATAACCAAGGTCCTGCTTTAGGAGTGCTGAGTTTGCATAGGTTTTTGTGTGTGCTGATTTGCTTTAGTTTGTTAGAGATGAAAGCTGTTAATGATGATACAGTTTGTGCAAACAATAAAAATAAGATTTTTGAAAACATATTTGTGTGCTTTCTTAAAATTTTAACTGGTGCTACTTGTATAAAGCCACGTTATTTGACACGTGTTTCCTAAGAGATTGTTGGTAGAATGTGTAAGAGAAGTTACAGGTCTGAGTCATTACTTTTACACTGTGAACACATTTTCATTAATATTAATATTTTCAATATTATGAGGTTTATATTACAATGATGAGTTTCAGCCAGCAGGGAAAAAAAGATTGTAGAAATAAGAGTAGTATCAGAATACATTTACATTTCTAAGCATAGCAGATCAGAAGTGTTCATCAGTGATGCATCTGCGGAGTTCAGTGTTATCAGGACCTGTTAGTGGTAATATTAATGTGTGGGCTCAGTAGATATTCTGAAAAGTAACTCGCTTGGCAACGTTGGCAACTGGCATAAATTTCGTCAAAACACAAAACAAGACCCAATGGCCTATTGTCAGATTACAACGTTTCATTCGCATTGTTATTTAACAACGATCCCTTTTGTTCCCAGGTGAGTTTCGCAGCAGGGATGTAATTGGATAACTTCAAACTGTATGAATTAGTAGTTCTCTATGTTTGCCATTACAAAGGTTCTGCAAGGTAGTGTTCACTGAAGTACTTCTCTAGCTTTACTCACAGGTGTGTAATTCTCACTTCACAATTCCAGATTGTAACTGTCCAATCATTAAACTCGGAGCCTTGTACCAAAAAACTTGAAATAGTTTTCTGTTTCCAAACCACTTGAAATATCTGGAAAGAACAACAAGCCATGAACACAGGATCAGTGCAGAAGATTGTATGTACAAGGCAGAAATACAGCTTGAATGGGGATAAAATGTTAACTGTGTTTTTGTCTGCCATGAATCCAGTGGGGGTAATTTTCATTTGTAATTTCAGTTACTACTGCCAGGCTCCTGTGTTGTGAGTAAAAAATGTAGTAGTACACCTATTCCCTTATTTCTGTCATAGACATGAATATAATTGTTAGATTGGCAAACATGCAGAATTCATCAGTGATATTTATTAGGGAACTTTTTGCAATGTTAATGGAAGGTTGTACGTTTTCTTGAGGTGTGCTTTTAAACATTTCAAAACTCTGTCTAATACAAAATCCACTGTGCAGAGGGAATGTTTTCCACTGCAACGCTAATGACCTCAAAAATGAGACAATGACTTGCACTGAGAGAAGCCTGAGAGAATCAATTTCCCACCATACTGGTAGCAGGAGAAAAGAGGAGGTTTCATCAGTTCACCATAAGAAAATTTTCCCCTTTATGCCATCAGCAAATCAGCAACTATAATGATTTTGCTTTCAAAGTGTTTAAAAATTGGATGTTAATTGAAGTACCCCACCTCAGTGTAACAGCCCTGTGCTTGTATCATCTGCGTTACCATTTAACTGTGTTTAGCACCAGAAACCAGTCATGACTTTTCAGTCACCTTCTGGGTATGAAAGTGCTATTCATTAATGAAAGGATTTAATGAGAAGTGTTTGTGTTGAGTTTAATGCAGTCTTTGGGTACCTTGTGAATGAAACCTTCTGTTTCATTCATTTTAGGTAACCAGTGAGTCCCTGTATATGTAAGTACTTCAGGAAATCCGTTCCAGTGGAGGTCTTTGAATTTGTCTTTATTTTCCTGACAGAGGAACAGCAGGCAAAAATGTTTGTCTGGATTCCTGCAGGCGGGGAGACGCCTGATACCCAGACCTGCTACTTCTGCTGTTAATTCAGTGCAGTGTGAGGTGTCCACCTGCCTCGGGATCCTCACATTTAGGTTCACACTGAAGCAACACAAGTATTTGCTACTTTGACAAGGGAAGGCTCCAAGAAAAGCAATATGAGGCATTCAGAGAGCCTGTGAAAGGATGTGTATTTAACACACATAGTTAAGATCTAAGAAAGACTGAAGTGAATGTGATGGGGAGCTGTTGAGATGGTCAGAACTGGAGCATACTCCTGTGGGGAAAGATAAGGGAGTGGGTCATGTTCAGCCTGGAGAAGACTTGGAGAGGTGGAGGGAACCTAGGAGCTACCCCACAATACATATGAGGAGGCTATGGAGAGTACAGAGCTGTGCTCTTCACTGACTGCTGTGGTAGGAAAAAAAGAGGTCATGGTCACAAATTCATACAAGTGAGGTTCTGACTCGGTGTAAGGGAAGACATTCTCTTTAAGGAGGATAGAAACAGGAGTGGGTTCCCCAGAGCAGCTCTGCAATTTCCATCTGTGGAGCTTTTCAGGACCACCTGGACAAAGTTTAAGTGACATAGTTAGAATTCACTATGAATCTGCTTTGAGGAGGAGGTTGTACTACAAATCTCCTAAGGTGTCTTCTGCCCTGAATGATTCTATGATTTACAATGGAAACACATCAGAAAGCTTAAAAGTTCTGGTAATTCAATAATGAACAACTCTCTTAGCATCTCTATCACCTGAAAGTGCAAAACATGCCCTTAGATCAGCCATTCTGCCAAATTGAACCAGAGACATTATTTTGTTAAGTACATTCTGATGGCAGATGTCATTATTAAGTCAAGTGCATCATCTTGGGTAACTGTGTTCAGTGCCTCTGACTTTTGAGACGTATTTTAATTCAGCCTGGTTTTGACAGTGGAGAAAATCATTAAGGAAGTCAGGTGTTAAGGAGCACCAAACATCAGGTCTTCTTGCCTTAAAAACCCAAGCCTAAGAAAATTGCTGTTTGCAGTGTGTAGGTTATTTCTGCTAAAGTAGGCCAAATTCACACCCCCATAATATTGCTTAGTCTGCTTGTAAATCATCTCAACTACGCTGTAGTGCACTCTGGTGTTTTTTGAGAGAATTGTTTAGGTGTGCTTGGCTACTCTTGCATCGTTTGCAGCTTCACATTTTGCATTCTTGATTTTTCAGTAGATTTCATAGTTAACAAGGCATGGATTTTAGGGACAGAGATTTTACAGAATAATACAAGGACAAAGGAAAAACTAAAATTTCCCAAAGCTGTCTGTTGCCATTCCTTCTTCTGTAGAAGCTTTATGGTTGTCAATTTTATTTTTTTTTTCCAGTTTCTCTTCTTCTCTGAAGAGGAGTCAGATACAGCGCAGGAGATATTTTTTTGGCTCTCTGCTTTTCCCCTTACAGGAGAATTGTTCTAATCAGACTTCACAGGTCATTTTACAGTGACCAAAAGTATGTGATACATGCACAAGAACAGAACACAAAGCGGGGGAGATGCAGTGGGTGCAATAACAAGACATTGGTGTTATCTCATGGACACGTTGTTCACGTTGTATCCAAAGTTAACTGCTTGATGCCAGGCAGGAGACCAGGTGCCAAATTTCCAGAGTAGCTGTGTGTCCTGGAAGCACAGAACTGTATGTACAGATCCAAAAAAAAAAAAAAAAAAAAAGAAGCTAAGGACTGATTTGGAGCGGAAGTTCATGTTCCCCTGCCTGCTGCCCTCTCCTCAGCAGGTTATAAAACTGTTTGCATAACCTGCTGCTCGCAGTAGGCATCCCCCCCATGGTAACTCCTGCTGCCTCCAGGCTAACAATGATTGTAGTTAGGAGGGGAAACAGTGGTGTTCTTTTAGGTCTGCTGGCTGCAGATGTATAAAAACCCTGCATTACTCTGTCACTACTGCTGTGACCTGTAAAAATTAATGTGCCAGTGGTGACATTGGTTGACCCTTTATTTATCTTACTGGTGTAACATGGGGGCCCTACCCACAAGTGCAGCTGTAATAAAATGAAGAATTTGCCTAGGAAATGAGGAGATCTAGAGGCTTCCCAGCAAGGGAAATGGGGAGCAAAATTCAGGCTCTGAACTCTGGCACAGCGGCCCCACCGTTTCGTCTGCCAAACAGCCCAGCAGGTGGGCAGGAGTGTTGCCCCCCATCCTTCCCTCGTGCCCCCTTCAAGGCAGGTGTGGACCACATGGGTGCTGTCACCAAGGTACTGAGATGATCCCCTGTCTTCTGTGCTGCAGAAAGTTACCATGCTAATCCACAAATGTGTGTTTGCAGCTGGGGAAGGTTATCTGATGCCCTGGAGTAATGTGGGACGTCTGGTCAGTGTGGGAAGGTGACAGGAGGCAAGCATGGACTAGGGCTTCCACATCCACGTGCAGAACATTACCTGAGCCTGTCTTAGCTCTCTGGTGTCTCAGATGGAGCAAATGAAGCTGAAGCTCCAGTGTTTGAGCAGCACCTGTTTTTGGGGAGAGGGAAAGTGTCATGGCCTCAGAGGGTCACCTCCTGAGGGAGCTGCCTGTGGCACAGGTGTGAGCAGCTGTGCCCGCCCTTGTGTTTTGGGGCCATGTTGCAGTGGTGGGGTTGGGCTCTGGGGCACTGAGTGGTGCTGATGAGCAGGGTTTGCTGGCAGGTGTTGGCGCCTTGGCTCTTCTGCAGGGACCAGCTGGGAGCAGTGGTGCTCAGGGGAGGGATGGCTGGCGGGACCCTGCCAGGGGTGGGGGCTGCAGCAGGAGAGACACCATTGTCTTTTGAGTCATGTTGGTGAACTTGGGCCATGGGCAGGTGGTTTTGCCCCAAAGGTGGATGCCAGAGCAGGCTGTGGAGATGTGGTTTTTCAGGACAAGATGTCTGTCCACAAGACCTACCTCAAATACTACTGTCCCACATGACCCATCCCATGCCCCTTTCTCTCATCTGAGAGATCTTCCAAGACCTGTTTTTAAAACCCTTCTGTAGAAATCCATATTGTATCTGCCAGGAAGGCGGGCTACTCCAGGATGGTGGGAGATATTTTTCCCAGTGTACCAGATGAGAAGAGTCAATAAAATGGCAGCAATACAGAACATCACTTGCAGTCAACTGTCTCCCCTGCCTTGGGCCTGAAATCTTTTACATAGTTTGACTCAACTCAATAGCCTTTGGTCATACTGGACATCTTGGCTCAGGTGGGTCAGCAACTGAAAGAAATCAGAAACACCATTTTCCTTCACCTTAGGGAACTATAAAACTTTTTATAGAACTCTA